ATTTTGAGGGTTTGGTTTTTTGGATTCAAAATAATTTTTCTTCTGAGTACATATACTCTCAAACATTTTATTTATAAATAAGTTTAACAATATTAGTTTTTAAAATTTAATTTATGTATATAATTTATTTTCAGCAATTTATGTTTAGTTATTATTTTTATTAATGTATTTTTTTATTATTATTGTTTTAGTTATTATTTTTGATTATTATTTTTTTAGCCAATTTGTTTAAAAATGTTTGAAAGAGATATCCAAGTTTCACGTTCTTTTGTTAAAATGATTGACTTGGAGAATGAATTAGAGGTAATCTATAATTTTAAGTGAAACAATTACTAATAATGTAATATTTTATTTTATGGTTATTTTTTTTAGGGAGAAAAATGTTTACTATAGCATCAGTAAAATGTCATCTGTGTCACCTTTGACACATGACAATTGTTTAATTTTTGTAGATAATATATATAAGGAAAAGTTATGCAAGCTTTTTTTTACATTTAGTCTATCAGTAGGTCACACAGCTGGCAAATTTTATTCACAATCAGTACATCAATAGATGAACAAAATGTGACCAATTTTAGCTCTCTAATCATTACAACTTACATAGTTTTAGTTTTTATATTTATTAATAGAAATCTATTGATAGTTAATTTATATCAAACTAGTTTCAATTCACTCTTTTTAATTATATCAAATAGTTTTAATAATTTTTTTAATAAAAAATAGTTTTAATAAATAATTTATAGTTTTAATTCACTCATTGACTTTTTTTATTAAACTAGTTGCATTGACTTAAATTAATTATATCAAATAGTTTTAATAATTTTTTTAATAAAAAATAGTTTTAATAAATAATTTATAGTTTTAATTCACTCATTGACTTTTTTAATTAAACTAGTTGCGTTGACTTAGTTGACTTTAATGTTTTTTTTACTTTAATGTTGTACCAATCTGTGTTGCCAGAATGGTACAATGTTGTTTTGGAAAGTTTGTAGGTAAAGAAAAAGTATATTGTTATGTAAAATTATCATAGCATGTTATTTTAGTTATACCTTGAAGATCACTCATTTAAAAAAATTAAGTTATAAAAAAATAATTATTTGCTGGATTATAACTAATAAATGACGCAGATTAATAAGTGTTGTCTAAAATGTATTTGAGCTATAGGATTTTTAAAACAAGTTTAATCTTGACATATTATTGGTTTATAAATTTTTAAAGTAATTTCATATTAAAATTTATTTTTACTAAAATGATTTTAAGTGTCTAATTGTTGTTCAAAATAGATTGGTTAAAAATAATATAAAAAAGTTATTTAAAGTTCTATTTATTTTATTTGTAACTAAGCAGTATGGTTGCTAAGCAATATAGGTATCCATATTCTTCATATTTATTTCATATATTTTGTAATTATACTAAGTTCTCTTTAAGTTGTTTATTTTGTCTAGTAAAAGTGAATTCTAGCAGCTTTTTAATTAGTTATTATTAAATCCATCAATGGATTTTCTCTAAAATCAATGGATTTAAATTATAATGGATTGAAGTTCACTGATATTAGTGTGTTAAAATTAAAAATTGATTGCGTTAATGCAACAAACAACTGAAATAAAGGAGTTAAACACTAATGCATCAGCTAATGCTACTCTGAAAAAGAAAAAAAAAAGAATTTAATATGTTAAAGAAAAAGCATTTCATTGAAATTAAAGTGAAATTAGGCAAGATATCATTTTAGCATAAAATATTTCTTATATTTGTGAATATAGGGGTTATTATATTACAATACTTTTACATTAATATATATTAGTGCTTAACATTTAAAAAATAACAATAGTTAACACCTTTCTGATGGCTACTAATTATACAAACTAACAAGGTTGGGATATATTGCTCAGTTTGTAAGCAAGCTTCTTAAACGCTTTAATTAAACATTCAAAATTATTCAAATTTTTTTAATACACTAAACAACTTTTCTATTACAATTATAATAGTTTTAAATAAATTTAAATAATTATGTCTTTCAACATAGTACGTTTATAAAAAGCACACATTTATAAAGGTTTAAAATGAATCAATACTCATAAAATATGATTAGATTTTTGATCCAGTACTCAGTCAGACTCAGGCCTTGTTATAAATCAAAAATGTTTTATACATTAGCATAACATGATATTTGACGTCATAAAGTTCTATTTATTTTTTTAAGACATTACATTTTTTTAAATTACTGCAATAAAATAAAATGAGTTTAATGTTATTTAACAGCTTTTCTATTATTACTATAATGGAATGTTTAATTTTTTAAAATATTTTATTTAATATTAAACAATTAAATTTAATATTGCATTTTAAAAAATGTTTAATATTAAGAAATTTCTTTCTTTTCTTGACATTTGCATAAATGAATTAAAATATGTTAAATTTTTGAATTTTTAAAATGATTATTTCTTAAATTTCTAATTGTGGCTTTGCAACTACAAATGATTTTTTGTTTAAAAAAAATTAGCAAGTAACAAATTAAAAAATTACATTAATTTATTTACTTTATTTATTAAAAGTTTATTATTTTATTACTAAAATTATATTGCTGTATATATCATTTATTAAAAAATATTGCTGCAATTTAATTTGAGTTATAAATGAAAAAGTTTAACTTATATTTAGTGCAAATTTTTGATGTAACTGTTTATTTAAAATTTAATTTTGACTTTAAACAAATGTTTAGGAAGGAAAATCGAAAAAACAGTTGCGATAAAAATAATCTGATTTTTTTTTAAGAACAAATAAAATTTAAATTTAAAAATATTACTAAATATTGAACAATATTTAGTAATATTTTTAAATAGATTTGATAGTTAAGTTAAACCCAAGCATTAACTTTAATTTTAATAAGTTTAAATATATTTTTAAAATCTAAAATAAATATATATAAATAATTTAATATCTAAATTAAAAATATATTTTTTTATCAGAATAAAATTATATATTTTTATTAAATTAGTTTTAAATTAAATCATATATTTTTTATCAGAATTAAATTATGTTTTTATGATCTTTGCTTCAAGTTTAAAAAATCAATATTTACAATAAAATAAAAACAAAATAAAAATAAACTTCTAATTTTATTTGAGTTTTTTTTATTATTAAATCTTTTATCAAACATTCAAACTTTTTTAACAAATATTTTTACATAAACGTCATTCAAAAGTTAATGTGACTTTTTTTTAATTTAATTTAAAAGTTAAAAAAAGATCTTTTAACAACTTATTTCTTACATATTTATATCACAGACCAATTTATTTAAAAAATACAATAACAAGAAACAATTTAGCTGTAATGTCTCAATCCAATATAACTTTTCCATGAATAAAGCATTGTGAGCTGATGTTTATCTAAGCCTTTTATCTTTTTTTATATTTATTTGCTTCTATTTGTTTTGTTTTTTTACCCTTAATTTATAATTTTCAGTTTTAACACACCTTACTAATTGTACCATAAGTACAAAATTAATTATAATAATAAGTGCACAACATCCTATAAATCAACATAAAAGTATTATTTTAAATGTACTAATAATAATAGTATTATTACATAGTATAATTAAATTGTGATAAAAGTTTTGCCACATCTTTTTTTACTAGTAATTTGTTTTTAACGCTCTATATAAGCAACCTCTCTATAAGCAATATTCTTTATAAGCAACCTCTATACAAGTATTTGAAAATATTTTTCCATTAAGAAACTTTTATTGAAATTGGTTCAAATGAGTTTCTTATATAGAGCGTTCACTACATTGCAACATTCTCTTCCCTCCCTCCCTCCCCCCCCCCCCCTCTTTTATACCCACAAAACTCCTAACTTAACACTAACTCATCACAAACTTGAGAAACAACTTTTTTTTCTTAATCTATTATATCCTTTTTAATTATTTTTTAATAAGTAATTTTAATTGAATTCATATATGATAAATTAATTTAAATACAAATTACATATGGGAGGGGGGTGTAATAATATGTAATTTGTATTTAATATTACATATTAAATACAAATTACATATAAATACATATGGGAGGGGGGGTGGGGGAGAAGGTTCAATTTAAAAGTATTTATTTCATTTTTCTAATTTATCACAATTAACCAGCTAACCAATAGAAAAGTTAAAATTCTGACTAAAGATCCTAGTTTGCCAACATGAAAGGTATAGGGGAATTAAGGGTATAGTGTCCCTCTATGCACACACTTCCCACCCCTTTATACACTGGCACTGAATAGGACTTGTATTTCAGACAACCCTTTTTTTGAGTCCTCAAAGAACAGGTTTTATCAGTGTCGCCCCCCCTCCCCCTTTCCTTCGAAAAAAAAAAAAATTAAATTTCAAAATTTAAAGTCAATTTTCTAAATTTTTGGTGTCTGTACTATATAGATTACCCCTTACTGTTCAATTGATTTAAAAAATTCAACTTGGATTGAACTTTATTTTTAATTTTTGGAACAGGCTTTTTAAAATTTTCAAAATTTTATTATAAATCAAGAATTTTCTTTTTGTTGTTATAAGCTGTTATTGTATTTTTGTTGTTATAGGCTGTTATTGTATTTTTGTGTTATACGCTGTTGTATGTTATTGTATATCAATATTAAAAAGCAAAGTTTGTTTTATTTAATTTTATCTATTTATATTTAATTGTCTTTATATTTACTTTAAACAAGAAAAATCTTATTATAGGAACATAATGGTTGCGTAAATTGTCTAGAATGGAGTTCTTGTGGAGAGTAAGTTTACTTGTTATTAGGTTAGAGAAGGAAAAAAAAGTTCATTGTTCATCGTTGAATGTACTTTTTAAAATTTTTTATGTGAACTTCTTTATTTCAAGTCTTAAAAGCAACCAGAATATTTTAATGTTAAAATTATTTTTGGCATTTTTTTATGCTTTACTTAAATAGTTATGATTATACTTTACTATACTTAATATACTTATACTTAATTATTATAATTACTAATGGGAACAGAAGCCCACAAAAGCTCAGAAACAATTCAAAATTGGTTATATTGAGATATTATTCTTATGTGAATTATTTACTAATAGGCTTGTGGATAGTGTGCTATATATTAAATTCCTGAAAACACCTCTGAGCAGTTAACTACAGCAATCCTATAGGTCAATCAAATGCACAGGGTTGTCACTTCAATCTAGATAGTAGATATTGTTCTTTTTTGTTAAAAACAATATCACAATCATTTTTAATAAAAAAGCTCAGATACCCTGACTTAGCTCAGTTAAATGACCATAAATAAAAAATGTAAGTTTATCTGGTCCATATAAAGGGATTGTGCATAATGTAGAATTTTATTTTTCAATTTTTAAAAGCTTTGTCTTCCCAATGTTATGATAAGAATGGACAATTTATCAACCTTTTCTCTTCAAGAACAGTGTTTGGTTTGAAGTCTTGGACAATTCCATAAGCAATTTCTTGCCAATTTTTTTATGAAGTTGTTAGTTGACCTATAGATGAATGAAGTTGTTAGATGGTTGTCCTATATAGATGAATGAAGTTGTTAGATGGTTGACCTATATAGATGAAGAAAGTTGGTAGATGGTTGACCTATATAGATGAATGAAGTTGTTAGATATATATAGAGCAAGTAGTTCAGCACTTTATCCAATTGCTATCAAAACCTCAAAAATGGCCTTCATAGCAACATTATTCTATTTCTATCAAGTATAGATACATTTAGAGCCATTGTATTTGTGATGGAGAAATTACTATACTTATATACGTACCTGGGTCTTGATCTTTGGGCTCAAGGTGAGTTTTTTCTGATTCAGCAAGATCACTGCTTTCCAACACATCTTTGTTTAGCAATAGATTTTTGCTTTTCTAACACAACTTTGTTTAGTAATAAAAGTTTTATTTTCCAACACTGCTTTGTTTAGTAAAAAAACTTTATCAAGTTGAGATTGGGGCAATCTCATTTGCAATTCTTCTTTTTTTTTTCCCCTTTGCTTTTATTGTTTTTAAAGTAGTCATAGTTGGCTTAGGTAATCTTGCAGCCAGGATTTTCTTTTTAGTTTCTAAAAAATCCTGTAATTAGGATACATTTTGAGTTCCATGGCCTTAGTATTAGCCATGTTAAACAGTTCTTCTAATGCTTTTAAAATGTGTTTTTTTTTTTTTTTACATTTTGAGTCTCAGTTGTATGGCTTTTAGATTTTTTTCAAATATTTTATCTATTATTGTTCAATCTTTTTAATAGAATCTTGTTGATAAAATCTTGTTGATGCTTGGTTAAAATCTTTGTTGGAAACCAAAAATCTTTAACTCTCTTGATTGTGTTGGTTGCAGCCTAAAGGTCAAAAAACCTGTTTTCTGATGGCTGATGACAGTTGGCTTTCTTCAATCCCTTCTGCAGAAGTTTCATGCTGCCTTTGTTGCCAGTGAATTATTTAGGCTTGAACTGTGGATCAGTCATGTCGTAAATACATAAATTGCCATGCCAAAATTGTATATAGGCTCCCTTTGACCACCACAAAAAGAAGCTTTAACTAACTTTGACCGCCGTGCAGTAAAGCACAGACTATGGTCATCCAGTTGTAAAATGAAGCTTTAACTCTTTCATGTCATATTTTATTAAAAAATGGCATAATGGCATTATTTGTCTAAAATCACACAGTTTTAAAATTTATTAAAATATTTTATTGCAAAACTACTTTGTACGATTAAGTTATGTTCTCATATGTATATGTTATTTCTTGTTTTTTGATTAAAAAGTTTTTTCTTTAATCTTTAGCTATTTACTTTCCGGCTCTGATGATACTCAGATAATTCTTTGGGATGTCAGAAAAAGAAAATCAAGTGTAAAAATAACTACAACTCATCAAGGAAACATTTTTTCAGTCAAGGTTTTAATATTGATGCTTTTTGAATAATGTTTGTACATATAAAATTTTTAAAAATATGATTGTTTACAATCAACCAATACAATCTTATAATGGTTAGCAACAATCTTGTAACCATTGTAAGGTTGTTTCGACCTGGAAACATTAGATTAAAAGTTTTCATCAATATATTTTTAAGCTAACACTATTATAATCTTTTAATCTGATATTTGCGATTCCCATAGTTTTTACCTTATTCTTCTGATAACATCGTTGCATCTTCTGCAGCTGATCAAGTCATTAACCTGTATAATGTAAACACAAAATCAGAAATTCATTCATTCAAATGTCATTCTGGAAGAGTGAAAAAATTAGCTGTTTCAAATCATTCCCCATTTTTACTTTGGAGTGGTTCAGAAGATGGTACCTTACGGTAAACATTGATTTTAACTGTGTTCTATGTTAGCTTTTTCTTTTTCATTCTTTATATAAATTTGTGGTAAAATAATATTTGTTAATACATTAAGTATAATACATTAATTATTAAATAAAAAATAAAAATTTAAATAAAAACTTCATTAATTAATATCTTTTTTATTTTTAGGGAATTTGATTTACGGGAGGCCTATCATGATTGCTCGTCTTCTTGTTCTAATATACTTATTAATCTTCGACAGCATGTAAGCTATACTAATGAAATCAAATGTATTCAAGTACATCCAACTTATCCAGAGCTTATAGCAGTAGGTTGTAATGATGCTTATTTACGTTTGTTTGACAGAAGAATGTTAAAGCACGACAATGTAGCAAGTTTGAATGATAAATGTGCAGATTATTTTGTACCTGGTCATTTACTTCCAACATCATCAAAATGTCTTAAACGAAGACTTTTTGTTACTACTCATATATCTTTCAGTCCTTGTGGTACTGAGGTTCTCCAAAATCTTGGGGGAGACCATATATACTCTTATAATTTATTGGAGAAAAAAAATTCCATTAAGTTCAAGTTTTTGCATAACAATCATTTTGCATCTCATGATAAAGTTGAAGATGTTAATTTTACTAATAAATATGCAAATGTACTGAACAATGCAAAGAATAGTGTTTTAAATAGTAAAGCAATTAAATTAAAAATGAAAGGAAATGAAGCATTTACAAAAAAAAATTATTATAGAGCAATTGTTTATTACAATAAGGCACTTGCAATTTTTCCATACAATTCAGTTTTGTTAGCTAATAGAGGAGCTGCTTTGATTCAACGCAAGTGGTAATAATTTATTATTACTGTTATTAAAAGCTTTTTTGAAAATATTTTATTTTTTAAATTTAATTGTGTCTTATGAGACTTTATTATATAGGAATGGTGATGTGTATTCTTCTTTGTGTGATAGTCAAGCAGCTGTGGCGCTTGATCCATTTCATCACAAAGCTTTCCTTAGACAAGTTAAATGTCTACAAGAATTAAAAATGCACAGTGAGGCCTTAAAATGCTTTGAGTTATTTAAAGAAAAATTTCCAGAGGAGTATAAAAGTGCTACTGCCAAACAACTAGAGGCAGATATCAAACAATCTATGAATGTAAAAAATGCAGGTAGCATTTATTTTTTCTTTAAAATTTTTATAAAAACATGTATATATATTTAGACTTATTTGTAATAATAAATACTACCATAAATAACAAGTTAACACATAATGAAAGTGACAGTAATTGTGAGTTTAATAGAAATCAAAATTCATTTTATTTTAATTAAGTTACAATTTTTATATATCAATAAAAGTATTATTTTTTATTTTAATATAAAAAATGAAGCCATAAAAAATTTTTTTTAGCAGTGGTAGTACTGATTATTGCTACCATCACCAGAAAGGTAAAAAACACACAGAGAGTTGACCTTTTAACAACAATATCGAATCATTTCACTTGCTTTTAAATCTGTTCCAGTTTTTGAGCATGTGCTAGAATGCTCAAATGATGCAGGATACCAAAAAACAATAGATAAAATGCTGATAAACACATCCACACTTGTAGCTGAAATATGTTGGGTGCTTATTATTGTGTATTCAATGAGTTCTTGAACTGATTCTTGAAAGTTATTTATTAAAATATTTTCAGGTAGTGACATTGCTGTTGTTTTAATGTGTTCCCACCAAGGCCAGTAATATTGCAGCATTTAACTTGCTCTATGAACCAAATTTTTGAGAAGGGTCAAATGGACCTTTTAGTTTTATTTTGGGGCAAAAAAGTTTGTATGGTTAAAATTTGTTATCATAAATAAGAGTTCATGGGGCACTCATCTGCATCTGATGTTATGCAAGCATTCATAAATTGTATTTCTGATATAGATAGTTCAATATCTATATTAGAAATTGTATTTCTGATATAGATAGTTCAAAGTTGTCATCAGGTAGACCAAATGTTAATTTGATTTCTCTAGATTGCAGAAATGTTAGTTTGATTGTTCTAGAATTACACTGACAAGGGCTATTCTAGGAAATTAATTTGGGCAGCGGTACCCCCTCCACCTCCCACCCTTTTCTGGCATTATTTAGCATAAATATTGCTGAAAGTAGGCGTTTTTTAACAATATTTGCTGTAAAAAAAAAAATCAGACCAACAATATCTGAAATTGATGTTTAATATCATCTGCATAAAAAATTATATGAATATCAACATCTGTACAAATAATCTAGAGATTCTACAGATGTAGTTCTTTTCAATTATGTTAAGAACAACTACATCTGTACAATTACATCTGTACAATTACATCTGTAGATTCTACAGATGTAGTTACATCTTTTCAATTATGTTAAGAACAACTACATCTGTACAATTGCATCTGTACAATTACATCTGTAGATTCTACAGATGTAGTTACATCTTTTCAATTATGTTAAGAACAACTACATCTGTACAATTGCATCTGTACAATTACATCTGTAGATTCTACAGATGTAGTTACATCTTTTCAATTATGTTAAGAACAACTACATCTGTACAATTGCATCTGTACAATTACGTCTGTAGATTCTACAGATGTAGTTACATCTTTTCAATTATGTTAAGAACAACTACATCTGTACAATTACATCTGTAGATTCTACAGATGTAGTTACATCTTTTCAATTATGTTAAGAACAACTACATCTGTACAATTACATCTGTAGATTCTACAGATGTAGTTACATCTTTTCAATTATATTAAGATTAACTACAGGATTTTTTTCGGATGTAATTACATCAGGACAAATAATAAAATAATAATGCATTATTTTAACCAGATGTAGTTACATAACTTTTTCCAGATGTAATTACATCGGGAAAAAAATATTAACTAATAAAGAATTTTTTTTAATCAGATGTAGTTATAAGATTTAGTTATAAGACATATAAGACTTTTTTCAGATGTAATTGCATCTGGAGGAAATTCTTCCAGATGTTATTGGACATGGAGAAAAATTCCCAGATATATACATCTTCCTAAAGATGTTGTTAGAGGTCATTGAATTTTTAGATGATATTGGACAGATGTTGCTGATGTTGTTGGAGAAAAAAATAATTTACTGATGATCTTGGACAAAAGTGTATAGATGATATTAAACCACTCTGCAGATTTTGTTGGACAGATTTATTAATTTTTTTTTGTTTCCACATCATTCATGGCAGTTCTAAAGCAGGGGAAAAATTAAATTATTAAATACAATGCATCAATTTTTACATGAATCTCCCAGTAGACGAGCGACAGATGAAAACATCACTGGAACACTTGATTATTCAATGCAGTTTTGTTCGCATAGGTAATGTGGAAAATTAAGATTGTGTTAAATGGATTAAATCACTCCTTGACAATTACAAAATGTTTATTACATATTTTGGTACTCTTATAAAAAGCAAACAACCTGATCAAAAAATAAAAGCTGGCTATGACTGAAAACCATGGTTCCTGATCCTGTTTTGTCAGCTAAACTGAAATTTTTTAAGGTGGTTTTTTCAAAAAGTTAAGCAGTTTTTTGAGATGTTTTCAAACAGGCAAACCAATAGTTTCCTATATGGCTATTATACTTGCTAGTATAGTTGATGACTTTCTCAGGCAAAAGATGTTCTAAATAAGTGTAGCGATCTTTATCGTGAGCGACAAATAATTTTAATAAATACAAAACATTAGTAGTTATATTCAACATTAGTAGTTATATTCAAACAATAGTAGTTATATTCAAAAAAGAGGTGGGATAGTTATATAGCTGGTCTGTTAACACACCTCCTTGAGAAGTCCTACTTTGAAGTTTTTCATAATATGCACTGCTGTAACCATCAACCCAATTATTTTTTCAAATCCAAATTATAAAAATATTTGCATTAAAAATTTTTCAATTCAATTACAAAAATAAGTTAAATATGGTTGTTTGTCACTAAAGTCTGCTTAACTAGCAAAGAGTCAATGTTAAAAGTTTTTAGAAATAGTTGACATAAGTCAGAAATTTTTTTAAGATTTTGATATTAATAATTTTGATAAGTTCTTCTCAGAATTTATTGGGATGAATAAAGTTTATCAAAATGTTTTGAATGTTTCTAAAATAGTTGTAAAAACTAAATAAATAATCTGTATAAAAAGTATACGATTACTACAGATGTAATTGCATCTTTTCAATTTTAATAACATTTCTGCAACTACATCTGGAGATTTTACAGATGTAGTTACATCTTCTCAATTATGTTAAGAACAACTACATCTGTACAACTACATCTTTAAATTCTACAGATGTAGGTGCATCTTTGAAATTATATTAAAACTACATGATTTTATTAAATTATTAAATTATAATGCCTTATTTTTACTAGATGTAGTTACATATATATGGTTTTTTTCAAATGTAGTTACATCCTGAAAAAACTATTAAATAATAAAGAATTATTTTAACCAGATGTAGTTGCATATAAGATTTTTTTCAGATGTAATTACATCTGGAGAAATTTGTTCAGATATTATTGGACTTGGTGAAAAATTACCAGATGTAATTACATTTTAAAGATTTGTTAGGGGTAGTTTAATTTCCAGATGATATTGGACAGATGTTGATGTAGTTAAAAAAAAACATACAGATAATCTTGTCAAAACTGTAAAGATGATCTTATACTATTCTACAGATGTTGTTGGACAGATGTAGTAATCTTCTCCTCAGTAATTACCTATAACTATATATAAAGTCTACCAAAATTTAGATGTAAAACCAGTTCAAATCAATTCTTTTTTTTATGGCTGATATATATTTTTAATGTTTCGATATCTGATTTACAAAATTATCTTTTGTTTTTTAAATGTTATTTTTACTAGCATGTTGTAAAGTTTTCAATAAAAAATTTAAAATTATAATCTTTTTGACTTGAAATTTTTTTCATTTTAGATTCTTTTTTTTTTCATTTTAGATTCTTTAGATTTCATTTATCTTCTACTATATTATACCCCTATAATTCATTAAAGTTATTATTTATTTTTGAAAATATTTTATTTATATATTCAAGTGCAATACTTTTTAATCTATTTTATCCATAGTGCAATAATTTTCTATTTTTTTCTATTTTTTTTTTTGGAATTGTTGTTGTACTCCTTTCTTAACTCTATAACTCCATTGACCAACAAATAAATCGCAATTACTTTTAATCACACTCGCTTATTTTTTTAGCTTTTACAGAATTAACTTTTACTATTATGTATTATACTTTTAATTTTTTTTAATTGTTTTCATTTTTTGAATATATTTTTGAACTTATCTTAAATCTTTGTTATTTATTTACAATTAATTTATTTGTTTGGCATTTTTTTCACATTTAGAAAATAATTCTCGTTTACCAGAGAGCAAACATAATAACAAAGATGAACATTCGAGGCGAGAAAAATCTTATGATTTCTCAAATCGTTTTGTTGGTACATGCAATATAACAACTGATATAAAGGAAGCAAGTTATTTTGGCGCATATGGGCAGTATATTGCTGCTGGAAGTGATTGTGGTTGCATGTTTATTTGGGAGCGTAATTCTGCTAATATTGTAAAAGTTTTACATGGAGACGAATCTATTGTAAATTGTGTTCAACCACATCCTACAACTTGCTTAATTGCAACAAGTGGCATTGATCCAGTTGTTCGTTTATGGAGTCCACAGTTCGAATCAAAGAAAAAAGAACTTAATATACAAGACTTAGTTTGTTCTAATCAAAAAAATTTAAACTCTGATCCATTAGATGAAATGCTAAGGACTATGGGATACATACCTGCACTATCTGATGACGATGACAGTGATGAACCACGCGTAAATTGTGCCACAAGTTAAAAGTTAAAACATAGTTTTCACCAAAAAAAATTATATCAAATATAATAACTAATAAAAACATAAATATAAAATATATATTTTTGTATACTGCTAGAGTTAATTCTTCGTAAATCTTTTTTGTATTATTAGCTGTTTATATTATTTATTGTAAATTTTTTTGATTTTAATTTGTTGACTTTTTTTATTGGTTGCAGAATGTGCCATATAAAACTGACTAATATTTATAAATAAACACTAACAGCTCTAATGTAATATAATTTTTATTGTATTTATTTAAATCTAAATTTTATCCTCTTGTATTTAATACTAACTTACATTGTTATTATGGAATCTAAAAAATTTAATAACCTAATTTATAATATTGTATTAAAAAAAATATGAAAAATAAACTAGTATTTAAATAAGGCTAATAGGTGGTGGAACTACAAAATATTTACTAACCATGGTGGAACCACAAAATATTTACTTATCATGTACAAAAATTGTCCTGCTTGTTATAGATGTTAGTGATATATGAGAAAAACTTCTGGTTTTATGATTCATAAAAGATTATTTTTTACTTTTAAAACAATAAAGTATCTAACCTTTATTAAAAAGTCTGGGAAATAAAACTCTGGTTTATAAAACTCTAGTTAAACTCTGGTTAATAAAACTCTAGTTAAACTCTGGTTTATAAAACTCTGGTTAATAAAACTCTAGTTAAACTCTGGTTTATAAAACTCTGGTTAATAAAACTCTAGTTAAACTCTGGTTTATAAAACTCTGGTTAATAAAACTCTAGTTAAACTCTGGTTTATAAAACTCTGGTTAATAAAACTCTAGTTAAACTCTGGTTTATAAAACTCTGGTTAATAAAACTCTAGTTAAACTCTGGTTTATAAAACTCTGGTTAATAAAACTCTAGTTAAACTCTGGTTTATAAAACTCTGGTTAATAAAACTCTAGTTAAACTCTGGTTTATAAAACTCTGGGTAATAAAACTCTAGTTAAACTCTGGTTTATAAAACTCTGGTTAATAAAACTCTAGTTAAACTCTGGTTTATAAAACTCTGGTTTATAAAACTCTAGTTAAACTCTGGTTTATAAAACTCTGGTTAATAAAACTCTAGTTAAACTCTGGTTTATAAAACTCTGGGTAATAAAAAGGGTTATTAAACTGTTTAAATGAAATAGACAGAAAAAATTATTTGTGATTGTTCTGGTTGGTCAAAATATTTGAAAACTACCTAATGTTTAAAGAAATTTATCCTGTATGTTGCCTATGGTACTTAATTGACTGGACCACAACAGAATATAAAATACTATATAGTCTAACTAAAATATTTTCATGTTTTTATCAACTAAATTTGGGCATTTAAAAATTACTCTTAATTGTAACATTAACTGTTACTTGAAATTACTAAAAAGGCTAAATAAAAATTGGCAAATTTAGAGCCTAATTTGTACAACAATTTTATAAATTCAATTCATTTTTATAATCTCACAATACAAATTTTATAAAGAGATTAGTTCTGTTTGTTTTGTTTTATATATATTATAAAATATGTTTCATATACAACCAGAGTTGAGACATGTAATAGTAACCAGGGTTTAATTTTGGAGCATGAAATAATTTATTTGATAAATTAACTATACTTTTTTTGATGATATTAAATTAAGTTTGTTAAGAAGTTTAACCTAATAATTTGAGGGGGTGGTGAGACTTATTACTGATATTCTCGTTAAAGGTGAGGTATTCAGACAAAACTTCATTTGCACATATTTATATAGTTACATAGTTTACATATATTTCATATATATAGTGTATTGTCATGCTTTTTTAAATATACACAAGCAAAATTATACTCTTGCAAAATATATATATATATATATATATATATATATATATGCATATATATATGTATATATATATGTATATATATGTATATATATGTATATATATATATATATATATGTATATATATCTATATGTATATATATATATATATATATATATATATATATATATATATATATATATATATATATATATATATATATATATATATATATATATATATATATATATATATATATATATATATATATATATATGTATCAAGTTATCCACATAATATAGTTACTATAGTTATTACATAATTACAAATTATTTAACCCTGCGTTATATACAATACACAGTGTTAGCAATGAAATAGTGTGTATGTGTATACACAAAATACTTTAGAGAGTTCACAGCAGTGACGCTCTGTAACTTTCTAAGATGGTTATATGACCAAATATATTTATACCATTATTTTTGGTATAAGTATATTTGGTCATATGACCATTATTGTGGTATGACCATGGTCACATTTCCTTTGTTGTGGTCAACATGTTTGTGCCTAAAGTATATTTTATTGTTAAACATTTTTCACTGTAAATGGATATAAGTCATTTAAAAATTAGCACAATAAAAAAGTTAATATTAAAGTATATTCTTTTTTTTTTTGTTTGTTTATATTTCTATAAGATATTATTTGTTTTACTAATGGTATTAGTATAAAGTGTTTGCTTAACAAATCATATTGAAATAAAAATGTTTGTTTTATAAATGCTTATTTTTTGTTTTTTTATTACTATTCCTATTGAAATAAAAGTGTTTGTTTTACAAGTCCTATTGGAAAAATATGTTTTTTTCACAAGTGCTTTTATAACAATAGATGGTTTAGTTTTTTTTACAAGTGATATTTCAAGAAAGATTTTTCTATGTATTTGGCCAATACATATTAAAATTGTTTATTTATCAAATTAGTTTTTTTATGTTTCATTTATTTTAACATCAAAAACAAAGGCTTAACTATAATCAATTTAGAACTGTCTTGTAAAATCAAAATTTTTAATATTTTTTTAAATATAAATAAAAAATTTTAATTTATATATATATATATATATATATATATATATATATATATATATATATATATATATATATATATATATATATCTGTGTGTGTTTGTGTAATGTATGTTGTTTATATAATGCTTTTTTAGTAAAACTCTTTTTTGATACTATATTAAGATGTTGTATATAAAGATGGATCCGGTAAGTCAAAAAAATAAGTGATTTTTTCAGATCTGTAAGTGAGTGGCGATTTTCAATTTGTTGAAAAAAAGTGACAATTGTCTTATTTTCCTTCCTCTTTTTTGCATCCTTTTAGTGCTTTACAAAAAGATTGCTTTCTCTATGTTTTTTAGTGATTAAAAATTTATGGTAGCTTTAAAAATTGTGGTTACTGTAGAATTTTCAATTACCTATTGTTGTCTTTTAACATTTTGTTTGTTGTAGTGCTTTGTTGCATTAATAAGACTCTCGTGTATAGTTTTTTTTTTCATGTATAAGTTTATTAATTTTTGTTTTAGTTTAAACTGCAGTAGATAACGAAATATTATCAGCTTTACAATAGGTAACGAAATATCAACAGCTTTAGGCCCTCAACATGAAGGTCCCGCAAGAGATTTTAAACTTCCCATAGTTAATAACGAAGAAATCCAAAGACATAGGTTACAATATTTGACTTAATTTTTTTTTTTGATTATAAATTTAAAGGTAATAAATGAAATATTAAAAAAAAAAAAATTACATGAAGGTTTAGTCATATATATATATATATATATATATATATATTTATATATTTATATATTTATATATTTATATATATATATATATATATATATATATATATATATATATATATATATACATATATATATATATATATATATATATATATATATATATATATATATATATATATATATATATACATATATATATATACATATATATATATATATATATATATATATATATATATATATATATATATATATATATATATATATATATATATATATATATATATATATATATATATATATATATTTATATATATGATGTTGTTTTATTGTACCAAATTATGATACAAAGTCTCTTGTTCGTTTGAGAGTGATCAATATTAAGTAAATTGTTTATTAAATAGATCAGTATTATTATATAAAGAGTTTGATTATTTGAAAAAATACAACTTTGTGATGGAACTTTAAGTTTCATGCCCTTCGGAAATCATCAGCCATATTTTATTCTTTAAATTAGGAAAAAACTGTTAAAAAATACAAAATACAGAAATAACCAGAAAAAAACCATAACAAAGCAATGGAATGAGTTCTGACATCAAAACAAACAATTTTTTAATTAATTAGAAAATTGCTCAATCACCCGTGTCGAATAGGGCGAGAGAGAACTTGTTTCGATGCCTGCACTTGGATACCATTTCACTTTTTTTGTTTAGCAAATTTTTATTTTTGGAAAATAGAATTTCATATTTTTCGTATGTGCATAGTTTGCAAAACTTCGTGGTTGGGTTGTAAGCATTGCACTGCTTAATTATTTTCCATTTGACAACTGAGTTTAAATTGGCATCTTTTAATTTCCAAAATTCTTTTGATAATTCGGTGTCATTTTTGTATTTTAGAATGTTAAATGATTTTATATGGTTGGCATATCTAATTTTGAATAGTGTTTCACTTATACCAATGTAGGATTTGTTGACAGGAATGTTAGTAGGATTATTGGAACTTATATTGGCTTGGTATACAATGTTTTTTGTTAAGCATTGGTTTGATAAAGGGCAGGTATTTTTATTAAGGCAATTGCAGTTGGTTTTAGGTGGAATTTTGTTGTTGTTCATAATTTGTTGATTGTGTGCATTTAAAAAAGACACCGAATTATCAAAAGAATTTTCGGAAATTAAAAGATGCCAACTTAAACCCAGTTGTCAAATGGAAAATAATTAAGCAGTGCAATGCTTACAACCCAGCCACAAAGTCCTGCAAACTATGCACATACGAAAAATATGAAATTCTATTTTCCAAAAATAAAAATTTGCTAAACAAAAAAAGTGAAATGGTATCCAAGTGCAGGCATCGAAACAAGTTCTCTCTCGCCCTATTCGACATGGGTGATTGAGCAATTTTCTAATTAATTAAAAAATTGTTTGTTTGACGTCAGAACTCATTCCATTGCTTTGTTATGGTTTTTTTCTGTTAACTTCTGTATTTTTTAACAGTTTTTTCTTAATTTAAAGAATAAAATATGGCTGATGATTGCCGAAGGGCATAAAACTTTAAGTTGCATCACAAAGTTGTATTTTTTCAAATAATCAAACTCTTTATATATATATAAATATATATATATATATATATATATATATATATATATATATATATATATATATATATATATATATATATATATATATATATATATATATATATATATATATATATATATATATATATACTTCTTGTTGTTGTTAATATGTTTATATGAAGGCAATATTTCATTTTGAACATCATTAAATGGGGCTTTTGAAGTGGAAGTGATAAGTTTAAAATACAACAAAGTTTTTCTATTGTACTGTCTCTTTATGATTTCATGAACACAAAATAAAATTTTCAGAAAAGTTTTATTAGTAGAAATTTTACTGGTTATAGAAATTTCATATTCGAAAAGCACTCAGCAACTGAATAACTTCAAAGAACTTTTATGTCCTTTAGTGTTGTTTTTTTATGATCTTGTTTAACAATATATGAAAATAACTTTTCAAAAACACTAATTTAAACTTACTAGTTTAAGACCAACTGAATTTATTCGAATGAAAAATGTAAAATGTTTTTTTTTCGTATGACTTCAAGTTACTAACTTACTGTGTATTGCATTAGTATTTGTATTTCTTGATAGAAAACAAACTGCATGCATAATTTATCATAGTGAACAGGCTATAAATTCCAATTAAACAAACACTGCAATATGAGTTATATCTGGAAAAAAGTAACTATACAAATATTGCAAGTTGTTGTTTCACTAACTAAGCATACTTTATATGTGATTTTTATATATTTTACTGTTTCAAACTAGGCATATAATACATAATGCAATTTTTAAATGTATGTTATTGTTACAGTTTCTATGCAGAATTGAATATTTTGTCAAAGAAGAATGGTAAAACCCATTGGGCGAAGCTGTTTGAATCAGCTGTTCTGCTAAATGCTGTAAAATACAATGTAAGTACCTTTAGTTATATAAGTTCACAGTTTTTTTATTAGTTTTTATAGTAATTATTTATATCACTCTTGATAAGTTTTTATATACAAAATTCTAAAGAGTATTCAAATTAACTTTTGCATCGCTTATTATTTCTAGAATAAATATATTTTTTAAATACTACTACTACTACTACTACTACTACTACTACTACTACTACTACTACTACTAGTACTACTACTACTACTACTATAACCGTTGCCGATGTGCCCTCGCGTTGCGAAATTTGAATTAGAGGCAAGAGGTGCGTAAAAACGATGTTTTAAACAATTTTTTTTAAAAATGCTTCAAAATAAATATTATTTTTATTTTAAATATTTTTTTTTACCTGGAAGATTTGTACCGCTTATAAAAATAACACTTTTCTAACATGTTTCTTCTACTTGCGTAGCATGGGGGCTAAACATGATTCCCCTCGACATGAATTAATATCGCTAACAAACAATAATTGTTTCTGAAAACCTAGTAAATTCCCCCTAAAAGTACCATAGTTCCACCAGTTTTTATATTTTCCTCTCATAATTTTTTTCTACTACTCGTAATTTTTTTTTCCGCGTATTTACTTGAGTGATGTTACTGAAATGTGTTTAATCGGGTTGGCTCTGTGAAAACTTTACAGTGGCGAATGAACAAACCGAGAAATTGATGTCCTTTTTGTTTCCGCATTTACATGCGCAAGTAGTTCAATTTTCTATTAAAGTTTTCCAGTTCTACTATTTTACTAAATAAATTAAAAAACCTTTTTTTTTATTATTGAATTATACATAACATAACTATTTACCTAAATTTCTGAGTTTAAGTAGCATGGGGGCGCACGTTTTTTGTGTAGCTTATAAATGAAAAAACTTGAAATTTTTTTATTTTTAAGTGTAAAGTGACTGTTTTGTGAACATCAAACAATTATATATAGTTAAAAATAATATCATTTTAACTAAAAAGTGTCTTTTAAGTTATTCGACCCTATTTAGTTTTTTTAAAATAAGTCAATAAACGAAATGATTTAAAATTGCTGATGCTCCATGGCCAATCATCATTACCCTTATCAACGGCTGCAAACAGGGTGGGTTTGCAGTAAGCAAATTTTTTTAAATGTTTTCCGTGCTAGATCAAGCATGTCTGAGCTTTGCGACATTTCGGATCTTGTTTGTTCTTTGTGGCGCTTAACTATTGATAAGTTTGCAGATTTTATTGGAGATATATTGTTTTCAGTTTACTTTACAACTTTGCTCCAACTTGTTTTTCTCCACAGTCCAACAGTATGTATTGGGTAATAAAATTGTTTGAGTCTCTTACAATGCAATATCTTACAAAACACAGTTGCTGAATATGAAGTTTAAACCGATTGTATTTTACTAAATAAAATATTAACTGAATGCTGACCAGGTCAATTTAATTCTTAGGATTAGATTAGGATTAACTGTAGCTGTGCCTTAAAATGCTACTAAGTGATAAAGTTTAAAAGTATTTACATGAGAATATAACTTTTACAGCCGTAGAGCAGAATTGGTTTGCATATTGCTTCAAAAAATTAGATATTGAGTAGGATGAGGACAGTTCTGTATGTTGAACATGATTAAGCGTTTTTTTGTTTGTTTGAGTTTTCTCCGAAAATTTTTTATTTAAGTAATTCATTACCTTTCTTAAGCAGTAGAACTCTGAGATTAGTTTTGAGTTGTAAAGGTGCTTTTTTCTTTTTTTATCACAATATATCAATCTCGATTTATAGCTTTTTAATTATATAGTTATCAGTGATAACTACATTACATTTTCAACTGCATGTTTGACTTATTCAGTTCTGATAGGAATAACTTTTAAGTTGAGATTAATCAAAACTGTCTCTTTGGCCAGTAAAGCCCCATAAGTGCACAGATATGTAAATTTAAGTACCTATTTATTTGTCGACTTAAAAACCGCCTTAAAAAGTGCCCTACTACGTTGTTTTACTAAGATGTTTGCTTGAAGCAAGCGCAAATGAGTCAGTTACCTCGTAGTTAATTCAATCTCCATTTTCTTCAAGTTTTTTCTTTTAGTTTCCGGTTGTCTCAAAACATTTATTTTAGTTCCTTATAAAATATAAAAGCATTAACAATTTGTAACTGCGTTATTCATGAAGTGTGCTATAGCTTGGGCAAGTAGTCACTCGTCCTCATTAAAAAAAAAAAAGAAACAAGCGACTCGGTTAATTTTTAATGCAGATAAATATGCATGAAAGACGAATTTAAAAAAATATGATTTTTTCTTTGTAATTTATTTTGCTTAATGCAGCTAAACGTAGGAAAGGTAAATATAGCTATTATTATAATACTATAACAGTATATACAATATAGTACAGATTATTATAATACTATAACAGTATATACAATATAGTACAGATGAATTATCTTAATTTTGTAATTTATTGTGACGTACTGTGTACGATTTATTCTGTTTCAGATCTTTCAGATTTAGGGCATTTTTAAATTGTTATTTGCTTCAATACCGATAGAGGTCTCAAAACAACTTTGACTCAAAACAACTTTGTACAACATTATGCATAAAAAATATATTTTCTAAACTAAAGTTTTGAACATTTATTCAATTAAAATAATTTCTGTCGCTATAAAACTCTTTTTTTCTTTATTTCTCTTGCTTTTGACAATTTGTGTCGTTTAGATATGAACTGCTTCTTTAAGTCTACCATACTCCTAATTAAAGGAAAACAAGCCTAGGAATAATTTATAAACAGTTAATTTCAATGAAAAGCAAAAAAAGTATTATCGCAATACCAAGATAAGAAAATTAAATTTTACTTATCTAAAATTTTATAAACATAAATTTTATAAACCTACCTGCAACAAACAGGAAAATTCAATTTTTGGTGACGATTGAAATGTTCATCAATTAATCTATCATTAAAACAATATAGTAGCACAATATAGATATAAAACAATAAACCACAAAAACTGTTTTGGAATGTTACCAGTGAACAAAATTAATTTTACCTCAATTACGTAGAACACCAGTTTCTCGCTAACTGTTGACTAATGATTAATACAGTAAAATTCAAATAATAAAAATTTACTGAATCAAATCATGTTTCAACAGTAGACAATAGGTTCATCAACTAAATCCGAGGTTCAATAGGTTCATCAACTAAATCCGATGATTTAGTTTTATTTACAAAAAATATTTAAATTTGAATGGTAAATATTAGGTATTTACGAAACAAAAATTAGTTAAATAAAACAATCATTAATAAAATAAAATTGAAATAAATGCGATAAAACTCACCTGTTTAAAAACCTGGTGTCACGTTACCTGTTTTTAGATATGAATGCGACTTTTGTATTAAACGTTATCTAATTAAAAAGTTTATAAAAAATATCAAAACAAAATTTTAAAAGAAAAATCTTACATGCATAGTACCTGAATTAAAAAAGTCACATATATAGTACCTGATTCACAAATACTATAATATAAATAAATGCGGTAGTGGTGTAGTGGTAGAGCGCTCGCTTCATAAACGAGTGGTTCCGAGTTCGATCCCCACCACGTCCCTGGTAGTACCGCGCTCAACTCGTTTCTCCGCGCAGCGGCCTTGTTCGTCAAGGTTCGTGTTTCGGAGTTATAGAGTTGAGAGAGGGTTATAACCACAAATAAGTAGCCTCCTCATCTGTAGTGGCCATCTCGGCCTTGAGGAGGTGAATAAAAATTAAAAAAAAAAAAAAAAAAATACTGCTTTCTCCTGTGTAGTATAATAGTCCCTTAATGATAAAAGAGGCTTATGTCAAGTAATTGCCTAACTTTAAAAAAGTTTTTTGTATATAACTATTCATTTTTGTACAACTAAACATTTTTGTACAAAAAAACATTTATTATGTTTGCAAATAACACAACGTGTTAATTGCAAACATAATAAATGCAGAAATGAACAAACTACTTTCATCTTCTGCCCCACAAATCAAAACTATTAAATTTTTCATACTTAAAAAAAATCCAGTAAAAACATTTTTATTTGAAGACACCTAAATAGTAAAAAGACTATTTACAAAATGTTTATATTGTTTCTTCTCATTTTTATCGATAGCAAATCAAACTTTTTTACAAGACCCGCTAGTTCTGGTTTCTTTAACGATAATACAAATTTGTTTTATTGGTTCATTTGAATGTATTACGTTAGATAAATGCAAATAAATATCTTCTTCAGTAAATTCTTTTCGGCTTCTTTTGAAAGATCTGTTATCATGCATTATCTGGAGATGACGGAATATAGTCATCTAGGTTAAAATCTTCAGATTTAAATAGATCAACTTCCTTAGCAGCGTCAATCAAACTTTCAATATTGTCACTTCTTTTAGTAATGTAACCTTCTTCTTTTTTTCGAATTTCTTGTGAAATAGGGGAGCTTAATGTACAAGAAACTTCATTTACAAAATCAATATAGTCAATATTAGGTTCTGTTCCTGACAACTGTTTAGATTGCATATCAAACTTTATCAACTACTTTTTTAACCTTTTCATCACATACAACTTTTGAATAACTTGACAACTTTTTTTTACATCAACTACTTTTATAGACCCCTTGTTTATTTCAGGTTCAAACAAATGCATGTTTTTTTCTGCTGATCTGTTAATGATCTTTTAATTAAACACAGTTGATTAATTGTGCTTGATACAGCATTACATTTGTCAAATAAGGCATATTAGCTCTAAGCCACTTCAAACTGTGACATAAATGATGTGCAACATTTTGCTTCAAACAGGGAAAACTTTGATAAATTTTTGTTGTAAATTTCCTTACTAATATTGGTGTCATTCTAGTTAAAACTTCTTTTACTTTTTTGCCTAAAGCACGATTCCAAAATAAATGAAACTGGGTAGTGATCATCAATGAGTCCATTATAACTTAAAAACATAATTCCATTACCTGTGGATGAGAAATTCCATTGAGTTTTTTTCGAAATACTAGCTTTTATACGATGTTTTAAATTTTTAATAATGACTGTGTAACAATTTTCTTTATAAAATGCTTAACAAAACTCACCAAAAGTCATATTGGCTAAAGCTTCTGGTCTTGTGACATTATTATGAAAGGTGTATGCAAGCAAATAAGACCTGACCAAAAATAATTGGACTTTGTAATAATAAAATTAGAAAACTTAGAAGCATTAATAGCATCTTTTGCACTTTTAACGTAGTCAGATTTGTTTCATGTAATTATTTATTCAGAAAAGAGGAAGTTGTGGAAATCATACATGTCTTTTTCATGCTGTCTTTCCTAAATATCTTTTCACAAACTATGCTTTCACTTTATAGAGATTTTTAACTTGAAATATTCTTCATTAGAAATAATTTCAAGTTTTTCTTTAGAAATAAAAAAGTTTAATATAAGTTGTAGAGAAAATAAATATGTTTTTCTTGTTCCTGGCTGCTTCTCATCTTTTTGCATCTTTAACATCCAAGAAAAAAAAATACATCCAAGATGCTTGCAATTTACATTGTCATTTGCTGCATGGCATACAGCTCCTAAAACAACATATTATGTTTCAAGGCAGTGCAAAGTGGTTTGATACCACCCTCAATGCTTTGCAGCCATATCAGAAATTCATCTATTAACTTATCTTCTTCAGATGAAGTCATATAAAACTTGTCTTTACCATCATCAAAGTCAACATTTAACTCAACAGAACCAGAGCCATCTTTTTCATTTTTTGCATCTGCAACATTGAACTGATTATTTTTTCTACTTCGAGCATCAAAACTATTACTCCATTTAGGGAGTCTTTTATCTAAATATTGTAAACTTAGCCAGTCATGGTTTTCATCGTCTGAATCACTACACAGAAAACTATTGTCATTATGAACTGCTCTGTTAAAATTATTTTTTAACAAATCATCTTCAGCCAAAGATTCAGAAGAAAATTCATTATTTGAGCTCAGATCTGAACTCTCATCATAGAATTTTTTCAGAACAGGTTTCGAAAACAGCATTGCTTTTTTTATTTTGTCTTTAAAAACTAGTAAAATTAATTATAAAACTAAACTATAACAAAATAAAAAACCTAATTTTCACAAACAAAACATGTCACCTTATAGCAATTGCTATTAGATACAGGTTCTTTAAGGGTTTTCAATTTAGACAACAATCAATTCAGTATAAAATCGTTGATATTTTTATCTTTTAATTCCCATATATATTTTGGTGTCTTTTGAATACTTTTTATTTTTAAATGATTGCTTATGATTGGCAAAATATTTTCCTCTAAGAATGTTCATGATAAACAATATATTGGTGTGAATGGAAAAAAACATTTTTTCAATCCTTTAAAAAAAGTATTCAAAAGACACCATGCTGTCAAAATATATACAATGATTTTATACTGAATTCAGTAAAAAATCATCAAAATATTGATGATTTTATACTGAATTGGTACAGCACCTGCATTTAATAATATTTCCAAATATTGCATACTATGCCTACAAGAAAAATTTAAAATTATTACACGTGCAAACCAAGAATTTTATTAAAAAAAAAAATCGGAATTAATTTCTAAATCCAGGCATGAAAATAAGTTTCTCCTAAAACACTATAAAAATAAGTGAGCTCAAGTAATTGTTACATTAAATCCGCCCCTTTTAAAAATTATTTTTTAAAAAAGCAGAAGTAATTAATTCTAAATAGTTCTTTTTATAATAGTGTCAACATATTCCACAAATGTGTGAAAATTTGCAGTAGTTAAGACATTTGCGATTTCCTGTAATTTAATTTTTGGTATAAATTGAAGTTTTATTAATTTGATTATTATTATTATTTCTGATGAAACACAGTGTTGAATACAAAAAAATTTTTGATCAGTCATTTTCTATGAATTTATATATATATATATATATATATATATATATATATATATATATATATATATATATATATATATATATATATATATATATATATATATTACATAATCAATTTAATTGCTTCTTAGATTTTCGGGAATGTGATCCCAATGCCAAATATAAACAGTTTAATTAATCTTCTGATAACAAATTTACAACTCAAAATTAGACATATTTTTTAAAAAATTAAAAATAGTAATTCAGACCTTTTTAGCCGATGACAACTCTAAAATTTATTCTTTCCTTAAGTTTTTATAGAACCACTAGCTTTGTAAATGTTGTGTGTGAAACTGTGTAATTAAAAAGAAAATAACATCATAATAATGAGAGTGTGTAACAAAAATATGTACAAAAAAGTGGAATTTGAAAACTGTTAACAGATATAGTAAGTGACTAGGGCTTCAGCCCTGTCCCTTCTAAAAATGAAACTTTTTGCATACCTGGTTCTGGCAAAATTATAAGGTTTACCAGGGGTTTATAGCTGGACCTAAAAAAACATATTATAATTTTATGCTTACATTTATTATTCATTAAACACTGGCATATATTTATATATTTTTAAACTCTAATTTACTTCCAACAAGATTGCAGGCAACCACTATTAAGTTATGAGTTACTTTAGAATAAATAATAAGTTAAAATACTAGAAAACGGTTAATTGAATATTTAAAAAGTTGTAGGTTGTATAAAAAAGGAAAACATGAAGATGGGTAAGAGTTATAAGTTGTTTTTTATATGCAAGGAAAAAAACTGGATTAATAAAAGTTTTTATAGCATGAAAGGACAAATACAGTAAAAAGATGTAACTTATTGAATAAGAAGCCAAGCAAGAATGAGTTTTGGTTTATAGTAATAGAGATGATAGCTTATTTGAGCATTGACCATGATAGTATTTGCAGAAAAAAGAAAGAAATGCAATCTTACAACAATGGGAGAGTGGCTCAAGCTTGGCAGAAAAAACAAGTCTACTTACTATTAGACTTTGTCTGAGAGTAAGAGGATTGTTATTCATCAACATAATTACAATATTATTGCAATTTTTTTTTGCAGTAAATGAGTTTTGTTGTCTAACAAAAATTGGAATTTTAAGTCAAGAATGTAAATCTATAAGCCTTATAGCAAGCCCTAGGCTGTTACAGAAGAGAGATCAGATTAAAAACCTGCTGCTTATTCTAAGCAATCAAAACGTTAAAGTTTTTTTTGTCAAAACAAGAGTATAAAGTTGAGTTGTAAGCAAATAGAGCCACTTTAGATGTAAAATTTTGGTACCCTTAAAGTTAATTGAAATATAGAAGAGTGTAGAATAACTTTAATACTTCAGTTTGAAGTTAATAAATTCAAAACCTTTATATAAATAAACTAATAACAGAGTGAAGACTAATCATAGGAAAATTAGAGAGGTCAGAGTGTTTTCTAGAGTTTTGAAAAATTGGAACCACTTGTTTAGCACTTTTAAAAAGTTTAGCAAAAATTGAAGAGAGTTCTAGAGAAAACTTTTTTAAGACTATGATGGAAATCTTGTCTGTAGCACAAACTGTAGAAGTGTTTAATTGAGAATTAAATTTAGCACTGGACCCTAGTGATTTCAATGTTTAACAATGGGTTAATCTGTTGAACTGGAATAGTATGGCCATAAGATTCAAGAGTCAAATAAGAGTAAGATTTTTTGCAAACAACTCTGCTTTATTCTGTGGTGAAGAAGACCAGACCCATGAATTAGAGATTAAATGTTAGACTTACTTTAATGTTAATGTAAAGTTAATGAAATTGTAAAGTTGAAGACTAACTAAATGTCTCAAGAACCCAACATCTGAGAAAAGATTTAGAGAGTAACAGAGTTTAATATCAGACAGGATTTTTTAACATTGGCTTCTTAGAACAATAATAAGACATTTTTTCTTAAGAAAGAGATGTTATTGTAAAAAAAATTATTACGGTTTAATAAAGCAACTGCTCAAGATGGTGTAAAACGTTCCAGGAAAACAATTTCAGAAGGAACAAAAGCTTCCAGTATCATACATATTATGGATATAAACATATATGTTTGCTAACTACTTAGATCATGGCACACAAAATCCTTTCATATTTATATAAACTTTAGTAACTATATGATGTAGTATTTGCTGATTAAGAAGATGATCAGATGATGATGATTGGACTTATGATTATGATGATCATATTAATCGTAATGATGTTTACATATGCATATATATACAAAATATAACATGAATTTTGAAAAAAAAAACAAAAAACTTTAGGATGTATAAATGTTTATGCAACCCCCGTCACAAGCCTAGCCCTAGTCACAACCGTGCTCCGGCTACATTTTATCAATTCTAGCCCTGGCCGTGGTCAAGTATCAATCCCGGTTGCTTACTAACAGATAATTATAAATTTTACAACCATTTTTTAAATACATACTGCACCAGAATAAATCATTTTCATAGTTGGAGACACCGCAACCTCTTCCAACTGGTCTTTTGTAAATAATTTAAAAACTAAAAAAATTATTAAATAAAAATATAAATTTACTGTTTATATATATATATATATATATATATATATATATATATATATATATATATATATATATATATATATATATATATATATATATATATATATATATATATATATAAATATATATATATATATATATATATATATATATATATATATATATATATATATATATATATATATATATATATATATATATATATAATAAATATTGTGTCATGTCATATACAACATTTTATGTCATGCAAAATGCATGCAATTTTTAGTTTTTAAATTGTTTACAAAAGACCAGTTGGAAGAGATTGCAGTGTCTTCAACTATATATATATATATATATATATATATATATATATATATATATATATATATATATATATATATATATATATATATATATATATATATATCTGTAATAAATATTGTGTCATGTCATATATCACATTTATTTTATATTTTATTAGAATAATCACTGATAAATATTTTTTTATACAATGAAAACTACTTTTAAAAAACAAGAACACCAAAATCATTCAAACTTAACTTCAGTTATAGTGGCATTCATTTTACATACAACCCAACACTATCTATATTACAAACATATTATAACTAAATAAGAATATAATAACAAAAATATATAAAAGAACTAAGAGAAATAATAATAATAAAAATAAGAAATAAAAAAATCAATTTATAAGAACGTTATTCATTATACATACTAAATAATAAAGTTCCAATTATAAGTTGTTTATTATTTTGTTTAAATAGGACATAAAAAGGATTAAAAACAGTTGGCACTTAATAGACTTGCTAATTAGTAAAAAAACTTTTTTTCAGAAAAATTATTCTATTACATAAAGATACAAGATTTTGAACATATGTGAAAAATCTACTTCAAATAAGGAACCGAATTATGTTAAAGTAAGTGTAACCTAATGAATGATTAACCTGAGCCTAAATTGTATTTAATCGATATACTTTATAAATTACATTTTTTTACAAAAATAAAACAAATAGCTCATCAGAATTTTGTTAAGGTTTTATCCATATTTTATCTAAAATTATATATATATATATATATATATATATATATATAAATACCTGTACAAGTTTTATACACAGCATTGTATTCACACATTGTATTCATTGGTTCTACTACCTTGACATTTGGTGCCAACAATTTTTGTACATAAAGCACAGGATAAACTTGTAAATGAGGTAAGTTGACAAATTGAACAAGTATTCATTTTAATTAAACTGAAACTAAACTGAAATAAAAGTGTTTTAGAAAAATAAATAAAATTAATTAAACGATAATGAAAACAACCTAATCATTTTCTTAATCATACTCTTTTATTCTAAAGTATTTTAAAAAATGATATAACATATTGAATATATTAGAAGGAGCTTTGGATAAGCAGGAACTATTTACAATATAAAAGTCCTATAATGATTTAAAATAAAGTTTGAAAAAAGTTTAGTTGAACCACTTGATCAATATAAAATGCTTTTAAAATGGTTTCATGTTAATGTTCATAATAATGCTTGGACAAATAAATAAAATTATTAAATATTGGCTTAATTTAAAAACAGATAAAAAAGTGCCACATCAGTTAAGAAATAAAACAATAAATAATTATTATCTTTATGTTATCATAATCAAATAAAAGTCTGATTTGAGATCCTAAATAATACTATTTTATATATAAGTACGCATACTTATTAAATGTTATAGTTCTAAATCACAACATAAACTCGATTACTTTCACAAATAAAGCCCGTGACATAAGGGCGCAGAGAGCCCTTATGCTGCCAACAAACGGGCTCAAATTGCAGCATGAGGGCTCAAATTGCAGCATAAGGGCGCGTGAAGTAGCATGAGGGCTTTTTAAGTAGCGTCAGGGCTCATAAAATGCAGATTAAGGGCTCGCAAAAACTACTACTACTACTACTACTACTACTACTACTACTACCAATACTACTTTAAAAGCGCTCAGAAAAAACCTGTAAAAAGTTAGTGATAAATGGAAACACTAAAGAGTACTATGGAAAACTCCATAAACTATGAAGAAAGACTTGAAAAGTTGAAAAAAAAAAATGTTTTGTTTGATATAACTACTTTATAAAAGATGTAATCAATTTTAATGCTTGTTTCTTTTTTTATTTTCATTTATTCTTATTTCAATGAAAAAAGCTTAACTGGTTTGTTTATTTGTTACAAAAGTGCAAGTTAATTATTTGTACAGTTAATTATTTGTACCCCAAAAAAAAAATAGAAATATTTTGAAAAATGTCAGGGAAAACATTTTTACTTAAAAACTCAAAGGAAAATTTTGTTAACCTATAAAACTCTCAACAACAAGCAACAACAACAACAACAAGATATTTATTTTCCTCAAAATTCACAACCACATAACCACAATAATATATTAATAATAACAATAATAATGATAATAATAATAATAACAATAATAATAATAATAATAATAATAGCAATAACAATAATAACAAAAATAATAAGAATAGAATATTTATAATATTATAAATAATAAAATCAAAATATAATTATTAAAAATAAAAATAAATAGTTGATTGAGGAAGGAGTCATTTATGCAGAATCCTGATCAAAGGAGTGACACCAAATAATTATATTAATAATATTAATTTAAAAAATAATAATAATAACAATAATAACTTTATTCATTAATAGAGCAAAATTAACAGCAAAAATAACAGTATTTATAATAATTGTAAGAATAATAATAATAATAAAAACAGCAGTAATGAAAAGCAATAAATATTAATAACAAAAACAATAAAGATTCTATAGAAATAGTAAGAAAAAAAAAAAAAAAAAAGAAGAAAGAAGAAAACTAAAGGAAGTTAATAATGATAAAAAATTAAAACTAAATTTTTGTTAGAGTTTGTTTAAATTTATTTTGTTTTAAATAAAAGATAAATTATTTTTAAGTTTTAATTTTTTAAACTCATTTACAATTAACACAAGACTTAGATTTCATTAATTGATGCTCTGATGTGTAAATACTTACCATGCCTCAAAGATTTATAGGAAGGTACATTTAGTTTTCCATTATTGATGTTTCTAGTTAAATGTGAATGTATAAATCGAGTTTCAGTGAAGAAGGTTGTAGTAGAGGATGGTAAATTTTTATTGAGGGAGTCAAAAACAAAAAGAAGATTAGCAAATGTAACAAGTGCTGACAAGGTAAGAATTTTAAGTTTTTGGAAGAATTTTGAAGTTTTTGTATTATGGAGTTGAAAATTAGTTATTCGGAATGATTGGCGCTGAGCTGATAACAGTTTATTAATATTGCAGTTGCCAATTTGTCCCTTAACTTGACAACAGTAGTTTAGATGAGGTTGAAATTTGCAAAGTACAGATTCTTAAGGGTAGTTTTATCAACATAATGGCAAATTATTGAAAGCATACCATTAGCTCGATTAAGTTTTTTTATGTAGTGCATTTGTATGAGAATTCCATGAGAGGTTTGAGTCTATAAAAATACCAAGATATTTAACAACTTGCGTTGGATATAAATGTCTATTATTAATTTTAATTTAAGTTATATGATTGTTGTATAATTTTTTTTGTCTTGGAGATGAAAAAAATATTAGTTCAGAGAAATTAAGTTTGCATTTAGCCAATGAACTAAACCTTTTAGGTCTAAGTTTATATTCTTACGTAAGGAATGATGAGACTTATTGATATGTAAGATATTAGTATCATCAGCAAACAGATGGACTGATGAGAAGTGGACAGGGTTATTTAGATCATTAATATAAATCAAAACAATAAAGGACCAAGAACAGAACCCTGGGGAACACCACAAACTATGTCTGTTATTTGATTTGTAACCATTAATGCTAACAAACTGCTTTCGATTTGAAAAATAAGATTGAAACCAGTTACAAGCAACTCCTCGGGTTCTGTAATGTTCAAGTTTAGAAATGGTATGATTAATGGTATTGAACGCTTTTTGTAAGCCAATAAAAACACCGCCTAAGAAATGACCAGTATTCAGTGCCTTTTATTTTTTTTTTTTTGTTATACTTATTAAAGCATGGCAAGTAGAGTGTTTTGATCGAAATCCAAACTGAAATTCATTTAAAAAATGAAAGGAACTCAAAAATGAGTATAATATAGAGTACATTAGTTTTTCAAGGAGCTTGCTAATGTTAGAAAGAATTGAAATTGGTCTATAGTTAGTACAAGAGAGCATGGAGCCATTTTTATATACTGGAATGAAACAAGATTATTTCAAAATGTCTAGAAAAAGTCCATTTAAGAAGGGGATATTAAATAGCTTAGAGAGAATATAAAAAAATTCAGAATTAAAATCAATAAGAATGTTTATAGGGATGCTGTTAGGACTTATCAATTTTCAAGGTTTTAATTTAGATATAAGTGATGAGATTTCAGAATGGTTTGTTGGAGATATCAGTAAACTATGAAAGTTAGGATGTTTAAGGTGTAAGATGAGTGAATTTTAGAAGTTTATGACCTACATTTGTGAAAAAGTTGTTGAATTCTTTGCATATTAGATTAGAGTTGGTTCAGTTATGTATGTTTCATTAACTTATAAGCAATTTGGAGATACATTATTGACATTTTTGACATTTATTAGACTTTTTATGCCTTTCCAGGTCTCACAAAGATTTTTTATATTTTCTGAAAAGAATTTTTTGAAATGTATTTTTTTACTTAGTCTTATTAGATTTTGGTATATTTTAAAGATTTTAGTTTAATTATATTTGTTTGATCTTTTATCCTAAACATTTTCCCTTGAATAAGATTTCAAATTTTAATTGATTTTATCATTCCTTTAGTAATCCATGGCTTGGTTTGACGCTTGTAGCTCTTAATACTAATTTTTTTGAGTGGCACATGACAATCTAACAACAATGTTGTTTGAGAACTAAATGCTTCAAAACTGGAGTTAACATTGTTTTTATTGGTAATGTCATTCCAATAAACTTTTAATAATTCAGATTTAAATAATTCTTTATTATAGTTTTTAAAGTTCCTGTCGTATCAAATATGATTGTGTAGTATAAATAATTTGTTGAAATTAGGACAAACAAGAAATTGAGGTAGGTGGTCAGAAATAGAAGTTGTTAGGTTTCCTGAAATAATTTGGTTAGTGGTTACATTTGAAAAGATATTGTCAATGATTGTAGCAGAATGGTCAGTATCTCTCGTTAGTAGCGTAATAAATGGGAGAATATTATAAGAAGTAAATTTAAAAACTCAGTAGCTGCAAAGTCAGAGTTTGACTGTATCAGATCCATGTTAAAATTGCCAAGTAGAAAAACAGATTTATTTTCCCTGCATTCTTATCTATATTAATAATCTTGCTGATAATCTTACATGTAAAGTGATTCTATTTGCTGTTGAGACAACTTGGGCCTTGCAGTTGCTTGTGAATTTTAACCCAAACAATTCTCAGTTATTTACTGTTGACAATTATCACAATATTGATATCCTTGTATTGATGACTAGCAACACTTATACAAAGTTGTCTACTTAGTCTTTTCCGATTATTATTCACTATTTACCATGCAAACCATAGAAACCATAGAAACCATTACAAAGTTAGCATCTACTTAGGTTGCCTTACTTAATCTTATTTTTATGATGTGAAAACCTTTTATTTGTCTTTGTAAGGAATACTGTTGTCATATTTGGGCTGGTACTTCTAATGATGCCCTCAATCACTCAATTTGCGTTTTTTTAAGTCTTCTCTAGACCATTTTCTTGCTCTTTAACAAATTTATTTATTTTCTGGTAATTAAATAGTCGTTGCTTGCAGCTTTGTAGGAGTAAAGTTTTTTTTGTTTTTGTTTTACTTTTAAAATCTTATTCATCAATCGTACATCTAAAACTAATACTCATCAATCTCACGCATTGTCAGCTTTGTTGGGAGTAAAGTTTTGTATTTTATTAAGGGTTATTCATTCTTATATGCGTGTCTATTCATTTTTATATGCATGTTTATTCATTCTTATATGCGCCTTTATTCATTCTTATATGCCCATTTATTCATTCTTATATGCGCATTTATATGCGCATATAAGAATGAATAAATGCGCATATAAGAATGAATAAAGGCGCATATAAGAATGAGTAAACATGCATATAAAAATGAATAGACACGCATATAAGAGTCAACCACCCATAAAATTTCTAATATAATTTTATATAAACAATAAATTGGCTTTTATGTTTTTATATACATATAGTTTAAATATAAATTAGGTTGTTGCCACTGCAACTTATTTAAAAAATGGTTGCCGAGCCAGCGCTAAATTTATTTAATAATTATAAATAATTAAATTTAAATCTAGTTAAATGAGTATTTAGATAAATAATAATTTAATCAATCAATAAATTTGATAATAAAATTAAACAAAGACCTAATACTAAATTAAATAAACCATCATTGAATGTAAAAAGTCTTCGTCTTAAGTATTTTTAACCTCGTTTACCAGGTAATAAGAAAAACTTGTTTTGAAATAATAGTTTTTTTTTGTTCAATTTGCTTTTTTAAAACGCGTATAAGAATGATTAAACACGCATATAAGAATGAATAAATGCACATATAAGAATGAATAAATGCACATATAAGAATGAATAAATGCGCATATAAGAATGAATAACCCTGTATTATTATTATTTTTTAAAATATCATTCTATAATCATAATCTCACACATTTGTAGATATTAAGCAAATGGATTGTTAAAAAAACATGTACAAGAATTAAATAATTTGATTAAGTTTAACAATGATTAATGTTTAACAAAAAAGAAGTTGTTGACTGTATCATTTATCATATTTTAAAAATGTAAAAGCAAAAGATAGTTTAAAAAAACTGCCTGGTACTCTCACCTAACTTGGTATTTTCAAGTTAATCTTGTTAGAGAGTCAAAGAAATCTGAAAATTTTTTTTATTTTTATTTTTTAATTCACCTCCTCAAGGCTGAGAAGGCCACTACAGACGAGGAGGCTACTTATTAGTGGTTATAACTCTCTCTCAACTCTATAACTCTGAAACACAAACCTTGACGAACAAGGCCGCTGCGCGGAGAAACGAGTTAAGCGGTACTACCAGGGACGTGGTGGGGATCGAACTTGGAGCCACTCGTTTATGAAGCGAGCGCTCTACCGCTACACCACTACCGCATATAAATAATATATAATATATAATGGTTCTTGGTGAGCTGCACAAATAAAAACAAGCTTCTTTTGAATATCCTGTGATTTTTAACTTTAAATGTTACCAATTATAATAGCAAATCATTGGTGGTTAATAACACAAAAACTAAAAAAAAAAAAAAAGAGTTAAAAACTAATAACTTTTTAAAATAAACATTTTTTTGAGTTTAATAAAAATTGTTCTATCAAATCATTTTTGGTAGTTTTTATTATATGTTGACAGCGACGTATCCAAGCTGATTTTGATATCGGTATACCGGTATGGGCCCCCAAATTTCAGCCCAAACTCAATTTAAAACAGTTTTATATTAGCATTTGTTACAATTACATAAATATCAACATTTGAAAAACGACTTTTAAAGTAGATTATAAGTGTATTTTTAAAGTCGCATTTAAAATACACTATAAATGTATTTTAAAAGTAATGTATTTTAAAAATAAAAATACATTATAAATGTATTTTAAGCCAACCAAAATGCTTAATTCCAATTCACGTTGATGAAATATAGAATATGTGGTAATTGGATTAAATGTAAAACGCACGTTTTGATTGGATTAAAATATGAAACGCTTAGCATTTTTAAATAACATTTTAAAATACATTAATATGAGTTTCTCCTCCGCTTACGTTTTCATAACATAATTTTCGAAGCGATTAAACTAGATGAGTTTTAAACTTTTTCATTTCAAACAACAGTAAAAATTGTTGGTAAAATACTTTAAATAATAAAACAAATGAAAGTTTTTAAAACATAAAATTAAAATAACATTTATTTAAATAATTAAAATAACATTTTAATATTCGCGCCAAAAAACTTTATTTGAATAGTAAGAGTAGAACTAGAAAATAAAGTTATGAATTTTTGAATGAATTAAAATTTCGAATGAATTTACTTTGTTTTAAATACGCTATGTAATAAAGTTTATATCAAAGAGTCTTACAAATATTGTTTATTAAACGTTATGAAATCATACTCTTTTTATTTCTAGTTCATAATATTTAATATTTTGAATTTAATAATTAGTATTAATTTATAAATAGTAAGTGTATGGACAGGGCCGGCGCTAATAGGGGCACGTGGGGGGGGGTGCCATTACAACTTTTGCCAACAAAAAAAAAAAAAAAAAAAAAGGTCCTCGTTTTTTAAAATTTACCGACTGCCATAACAACATTTGCCGACTGACTTTACCGACTAACCTATCGACAGGGTCTACATTTGCTGACTGACTAGTCAAAAAGGTTCACATTTGCCAACTAAGGGTCAAATTTGCTGACTAAAAGTCATTGATGGGGGGGGGGGTGTTACACCCCCCTATCACGCCGGCCTTGTGTATGGAGTAAGTAAATGAAAAGTAGCGATTAGCGATAAATCATTATATATTATATACGAATAATTGTATTTAAATTTGAGTAAAAAAAAAAAAAAGGTCCTCTAAGGTAGACAGAATTTTTAGACCGGTATGCCCAAATTATTACTGGATACGTCACTGGTTGAATATTTAACATAATTATGTATTTTATTAACATTTTTTAACAACATTTAAAAAAGTTTAGTATAAAAAAAAATTCATAAAAGTCTTTAATAAATAGTTTCGAGATTTTGTTAATTATAAGTGAGTTGCAAGTTACAACTTACCATGTAATATGTAAAATTTACCCATAAATTTTTTTTGATATTTTAATGTCATATTACAGATGTGTTTATACAATACTATTAATATTTACCATATTTATAATTTTGGCTACATTTTTTTTTTTTGTTAATTATGTTATTATATAAAGTATTATAACATCTATAAGTTATAAAGTTTATTCTAGAATGAAAATGAAGGTTTCATGCGTGTCTTGTATGATAACAATGCATGTCTAGGAATAGATATTTATTTACCAAGTAATTTTTGTTGTTTTTGTTTTGAAGAGAGGTTTTTTTATATTACTAAATTATGTACCATAGAAGTACACTACAATGCTTTTTTAGATTATCAAATGGTTTTTTACACTAGTTTGTATACATGTATACATCACACTACATACATACATACATACATACATACATACATACATACATACATACATACATACATACATACATACATACATACATACATACATACATACATACATACACACATACATACATACATACACACATACATACAGATATACATACATACATAACCTATATAATATTTATACTATATGTTAAGTATTTTTTTATATTTTTTTTCCGAAGTTTAAATTGTTTAGTTGCTATTTTTATCAATAGCACGGTTTAAGAAGACATCAGATAATTTTTTGCAGTGGAGAGATAAACAACATGGTACAAAAATTTTTTAAAAATATGTAAAATTTGTATGATTTTTTAGTTTATAATCTTGTTTTGTTATTTGTTTAATATTCTTTTTATTGGTTTTATTTTTTAATTTTAAAAAAGGTTTTTATAATTTTTTTTTTAATATCAATTCAAATTTTTACTATTTCACAGTTTATACTTTGGTTTTTGTTTATTATTTGTTTATTATTCTTTTTATGCTTTTTTTTTTCTTTTCCGAACATCATTTAAGGTACATATTGTTTTTGCATTTAATAATTCTTAATGCCACAATTAAAGTTTGTTAACTTCATGGTGTTGTTTATTTAATTAATCTGCAATATTTGGCTTTTACTAAAAGTTAAAATACCAGTTTTTAAAATTCTAGCTGTTTAATGATTGTTGTCTCCTAATTTATGTTTAGTTCACAATAACATGAGCAACTGCCAACTTTCTAACAAAGGTGTTACAAGCCTGCAACTCCAGTTACACAAAAGTTTAGCAAAATTTGAAAGCATATTTGAGGGAAAACACCAGATTTGATATTTGTGGTTCTCTACTACTACTAAACTACTTCAAACTTCTGTTCAATTTATTGAAAAGTCTCCCTTTCTTGACTCAAAACTTTTACAAAATTTAGCTTTAGGCTTAAGAAATATATATACTTAGTGTAATCCTTCTGCATTTCCAGAAGAAGCATAACTACCTTACAATCTCTACAAATACTCAAGACATGATTGCTGGAAGCTAATACTATAACTATGGCTGTCATAATTTTTCTTTTATTCCTGAACATAAGTGGCTTTACATTGCTATTATAAGACAAGACAGCTTTAAGGGATCTCTTGTTCTTAGGATCTGATGTGCATTTATTTTTGGCTAATTTCTTTCATTGAACTTTAGCAGTAAACTTTTATCAAAAACTCGATTCTTTTAATTGTTATCATTTAAAAAAATTATATTAATATTATTTTAGTAATTTTAATGAAAAAATACAAAATAACTTTGTGGGTAAATTTTTTTTGTCATTGATCAGTGTTATTGAAGGATATATACTTTTATAAAGTTTTTTTTAATTTTTTATTTAAACTTTTTTTCAAGATGGAGCATGGGGTTTAAATTTTGTTTCAGCAAGAGACTTAAAAAAGTTTTACAGGATGTTTAAGGTATTTTCCTTCTATTGTTATGCATATTCGTTTCATAAACTTTGTTTTTTCTAAAATATAAAAGTTCAAATACTTAAAAAAGTAAAGTTTTCAATTTTTTTTTCAGACCAAAAGTCATACTTCAAATGCATTTGAAACTGAAATACATACCCCTAATGAAATTCAAATTATAGAGAAAATTGATCTACAGTCTTCTATTAACAATAATGAGGTAGTTCAAAATTTAAAAGAAAGTATAAAGCAAAACTATGACACTAAACCTTCAATTCGTAAATCATTGATTCCAAAATGTTCGTCAAGTGAAATACCTGAAGCATATGATTTCACAGAATATGAATTTTTACAAAGTAATAACTTTTGCTCAGAAGAAAATGGAGATGTTTTGCAGCTTTCAAAAGAAAGTTTAGATTTTAATTCCTCTCAAAGATCATTGACATCAAGTCTGGTAAGTAATATGTGAAAACTATTGTTTTGATAAAAATAATTTTTGTTAAAACAGTTTTTTTGATGTTTTTAGCTATTTGATAGAATGTTAAAAACATTCAATCTTGTACTTATTTCAAAAATGAATCTAATATTTCATTTAATTGTTTTAAATGTTAGTTCAAAAGATTAGATAATCTTTAGGATTTTAATGGAAATATAATTTAGACTCTAAAGTAATAATAATAACCATAAAATTTAAAAATTAACAGCACAGAAACATTAGAAGGGTAATTTTTAGCTTTATATGTTCAAACTGATGTAGTGATAAGTTGTTAATGCCTTAGTTTTGTTTAGTTATAAGATCTTGCGTTTTCCTATGTTTTTAAGTTGTTTAAAAAAAATAAAATAATTGCAAGGAATAAAAGTTAGAATATTGGTTAATTTATTTGACAGTAGGCAACCTTTGCACAAGATAAAAAACCTTAGCTCAAGATAGTCAAAAAACCTTTGCTTAAGATAGATTTGCAAAAGAAAACATTTGCAAAACAAAAAAGAACTGCAAATTATATGTACCAGTAAATGATGAAATATGTAGAAAGTTCAAAAGTTGTGAATATGATGATGCTGGAATAAAAAACTAAAAAAGTGCTTTTCATGATCACTGTAAAATATCGAAGTTTACCTGAATGACTGGTCAAACTAATATTTTTTACAAGTGAAACAAATGATGATAGCTCTACAAATGAGGTTTAAAATAATGATAACTCTACACATGAGGTTTAAAATAATGATAGCTCTACACATGAGGTTTAAAATAATGATAGCTCTACACATGAGCTTTAAAATAATGATAGCTCTACACATGAGCTTTAAAATAATGATAGCTCTATAAAGTAGCAATCATTGTAGCAATTGAATGTGTAATGACACAGCAGTGTTGTTGTGGTAGAGTACTTGCATAATGACACAGCAGTGGTGTTGTGGTAGAGTACTTGCGTAAGAAATAACCTAACTTAAAAAGCAAGAGGAGCAATGTTCAAACTAATTACCTCTCTAGAAGTATTGCTCTTAACTAATTTTTTTATTCAGATTTTTTTTTTGTTAAAATTTGTTTTTCGAAGTTATATGATCTAGAGAGGGATATAACAACATTTATTTAAAAAGCCATCTTGACTACCCCTGTGGACATTGGCTTAAATGTTTAATTACACTTGGAACAGTTTGGTATCATCTAGTTTCCTCTGATGTTAGTTTCTTATCTACTTTACAATTATGATTTTTTTTATGGTTAGTCTATATGCTGCAGGCCTTGTGATGAATAATAAATGCTTAACGTATTTGTCTAACAGAGTCATAACAAATCATAACACATCTTAAAATTATTTTTATTTGCTTTTCATATTTTTTGAATATAACTTTTTGAAATAATGCATTTTACTAAATTACTGCACCGTGTACCGGAGTGACCGTCAGGGTAATTTGTTTCCCAGGTCTGATTTTTCTTTTCCAATTAGCTATTGGAAAAGAAAAATCAGACCAGGGAATATACATTAGTAAACACCATTTATGGTATTTAGAACTTCTGGGGGTTAGACAAAGTAAAAAAAATGGTTGTTGTAAAAAGTTTTTTAAATAAATATTTTTTTATAAATTTTGACAAAAAACATTGAAAATCCACGAAACTGATGAATTGTGTAAACAATTGCAGGCTATTTAAACAAAATGTGTGCTGTTTGTCTCACAGTTTGGTAAAGTCATCTAAAACTCAAAAGGTTAAAGAAGCAGTTAAAACAATGATTAAAATCTTTGTCTGGAACAAGTAAAGTTTAGAGGTAACCAACTATCCTAAAATTATATAACATAAAGATCAATAAGACCAAGATGGAGTACCTGTGGAACTGGATAGAGAAAATATCCACCATAAAATGTTTTGATTAATCTATGATGTGTAGGTTCATGAAGTAGTTTTTGTAGGATTGATGAAAAAACAACCTCATGAATCTTTACATCATGCTAAGCAATTTGCAGAAATATCATACAAAACACTTGGCTTTATAAATCACTCTAGAAAATCTTTGCTTTTTACTGATCACAAGAGCATATGGGTTTTTTTTTTGAGATTTGGTTGGTGATTTGGTGAATCAAACTTTGATTTGAGATTTGGTGAATCAAACTTTGTCGTCACTATGGGAAGTTTTGACGGGGCAGAGCTCTGTACGTTTGTCGGTCTTTTTATCCTGCATACTATAAGCAACATATATAGATTGCAATCTGATGGATTGTTTAGAGATGATGGTTTGTTCTGTTTTCATAAGGTCAGTGGACCAGAATCAGAAAAAATAAAGGAAAATCTTGTCAACCTTTTTAAGGATAAATTTAATCTAGAATTAACAGTAAAATCAAACTTAAAGATTGTAAATTTTTTAGATGTTACATTTAATTTATTGGATTGTTTCTTTCGATCATACAGAAAACCAGGTGACCACTCACTGTACATTAACATTAATTCTAACTACCCTCCTAATATTATCAAACCATATTATATACCAACGATGTTGTCCAAATGAATTAGCAATATTTCATGCAACAAAGCCGTTTTTGACAAAAAAAATATAGTATACTGCTGTAACGTAAAAACTTCACCACAAGATAGCAGATTGAATTATAATGGACTAACAGAAAATACTTTTAAAGACCGTTGGTTCAAACAAAAAAACTCATTCCAATATGTAAGCAAATCAAATTCAACAGAGCTTTCCAATGTATATATAATATATATATATATATATATATATATATATATATATATATATATATATATATATATATATATATATATATATATATATATATATATATATATATATATATATATAAACAATTAGATTAAAAACAAAAAATCATTCTAGTCTACAAAGATGCATTTTAGTGGTTTTGAAAAAATTAAAACAACTTAATTAGTTTCCTCGAATATTCTAATGGTTTTGACTTGAAGTGCTACTAATTATGTCAACACAAAAACAACTTAAGAGCTGTTTTTTACCATAAATTTTTACCATATTTACCATGGATAAATATGGTAAAAATCTCTTTACCATAGGTGTGTGGGTATATATATATATGTATATATATATATATATATATATATATATATATATATATATATATATATATATATATATATATATATATATATATATATATATATATATATATATGTATATGTATATGTATATATGTATGCACTAATTCTGAGATTTGACTCATTCAAAGAAATATCTATGTAAAAGAAATACCAATTATATACTGTAACACGATTTCTGGTTAAATAGAACAACTAATTCTTGAAATTTATTCTAAAATCTATTTAAAAGTTATAGTACAGTTATGTAAAAAATGCCATGATTAATACCAAAATCATAACCATGGAATTATGAAAAATGTTGTATGTTAATACAATTACACTCTAATCACAGTTTTTCCATGTAATTTATCAAATGCCCTTCATAGGTAAATTAAATTCTTAGTTTATTAAAAACCATGAACACAATTTTAATAAAATGGTCAATTCAACCTATTGCAAAAATAATCAAAATACAAAACAATAAATTTACTACTGCAAAAATAATAACTTACATATTTTTAATTATTGTTTTTTTAAACACCAGGTAATTTAGGGATTATAAATTAAAAAAAAAAGTTGTAAAACAAAAATTATTATGACTGAAAGTCATTTTAAGTCAACCAATGCTAGAGCTATTTGCACATTGTATGAAACATTAATATCAATTTTTGTTTAGGGGGAAAGTTTAAGGAATTATTCATTTAAAAATTTAAATGTTTTCAATTAAAATTAATTATTTAACAATAAAAAAAATAATAAAAAAGATAAATTTTAATATAAGTTTTTAGAGTTTTTTTGTTTTGTTTTAAAATAACTATAAAAAATTTAAATTAGTTTTTATATATTTTTAAATTCTTCTGTCTTTTAATTTTTTATACATATCTGCCAAAGAGCTACGAGTATTTAATTTATAAGAAAATATTTAATAAAATTTAAATAAGATAAAGTATTTTATGTCTTATTTACTAATTTCTTTTATTTAAAATATTTGATTGCCGCTAAATTTTTTTAGACTGTTGCGATAAGCGGTTGTTTTTTAATAATTATATCATACTTTATCTTGTTTTATTTTTCTAGTTTTATCTGATGATTTATTAAATGAATTAAAATATTAAAGTTTAAATCATAATCTTTAATAATAATAAAAATAATAATAATAATACTAAAAATAATATGGTTTTATAAATAATAGTAATAATATGGATTTACAATAAGATTTTATATCACAATTTAAGATCAACATAAATATTTTTTATTGAATAACAGCTATTGAGTTTAATAATCAAAACAGTTTTACGGTTTTTAAAAAGCTAAAAATTTAAAAACCGGAAGCATTTCCAGATATCGCAATTCACAATCACTTAATTCAAGCCCTGTTATGTATTGAAGCCAGATGACTATTTTAAATAACTAATTTTAATTCTTTATTTACTGTTTGTGTGAATACAGGCACAGTCACAGGGTTTCTAGTCACAGTTTTTTAATGTAGTGTAATAGATGTTACTAGACCTTATTACTTATGTCTAGACCCAATCTTTCAGTCTTTCACTTAGGCTGAAAACTCTTCAGAAGACTTTTTCAAAGCTGAATAATGTAGTTATAATGTATTGTGTAGTGACAGTAGAGGTATAGTAGTAAAATGCTCTCTTTTGGTAAGCCAAAAGTATTGAAATCAAACCACATTGTGTCTGTGAGTGTGTGTTGCATATGTATATACAGTTTATATACAATATAAGTTTTGAGTAAGTTTTTTTTATTTTTCTCTTCTTTTTTTTTTTAGTTTTTTAAATTTTCTTATAAAATATTGTAGTGTTTAAGTTGTTTGTTTTTTTGTTTTTTTTTTCATTATTCTTTTCTTTAAAATTTCTTTTTAAATAATATTTATGATTAGAATCATGGAATTTTTAGAATAAGTGCTCTGATGATGAAGATTTTCAATATGCACGACCAGCTTCTGCTATTATTTCAAATAAACAAATTGTGACAACACGCAAAGCTGCCTGGTTGTTAGTTAAGAATGTTCTCCTATATTCAAAAAAAGGTAAATTAGAAGCTTCAAAGCAACAAGCAAGTCAAAAAAAATGGCATAAGTATTGGGTGGCATTAAAAGGAATGGAAATGGCTTTTTATGATGCAAATGAAAAAACTGAATCATTGGAGGATTTAGATACACCCAGCTTTAGCTTAGATATCGATTGGTGTATTGCACAAGCCGCTCCTGAATATGTTGATTTAGAAAATGTGTTTAGTTTAAGCACAAGATCTGGCTGTTTTTACTATTTGCAGGTTTAATAATTTAGTTTTTATTTTCGATTTCTGTGTCCTTTTGTATTTTTTTAGCAATGCTTTTAATTGCTAGAAGAAGTCAGAAACTGTTTGTTTTATTTGCTAGAAGAAGTCAGAAACTGTTTGTTTTATTTGTTAAAAGAAGTCAGAAACTGTATGTTTTTTTTTGCTAGAAGAAGTCAGCAGCTGTTCGTTTTATTTGTCATTTTATTTATCATTGTATTTTTTTTTGTCAGAAACTGTATGTTAGTAATTTTTTAATTTGAAAGTTTTTAGTTTATTATTAAAAAATGATCAGTTCTTTAGCTTTAAGAAATTTTTAGAAATTGTTTCTATATTTGCTATTAATAAATCAGTTATGTACACTATTTTTAATTTATCTGTAAAATATTGGTTAAAATATATTAAAACATAAACACATCACGTGCAGTTATTTAAATTCGTCATTTATTATTAACACTAAAGGTATTCACTAAAAAATTTGTTTCACTAAAAGATTTATATATATATATATATATATATATATATATATATATATATATATATATATATATATATATATATATATATATATATATATATATATATATAATTATATATACTAATTTATAATTGCTCTGTCCTTTTAAGAACATTGAGCATTCTATTTTGTAGAATACATTTTTTTAAAAATTGTTTAAATATATATATATATATATATATATATATATATATATATATATATATATATATATATATATATATATATATATATATATATATATATATGTATATATATATATAATTTTATATATATATATATATATATATATATATATATATATATATATATATATATATATATATAAATTAGTTAAAACACTTGTCTAATTTTTCTTCAACAATTTGTTTCTCCATCAGTAGGTTCATTAGGAAGAATATCTAAACATAAAAAATTCAAATTAAAAAAAGAAAAAAAAACAGGTTACTTTTGGAAATTGCTTTAATTAATTATGTATTAACTGTAGTTATTTCAAACAGGAAATAGCCTCAATTACATTGAAAAAAAAAAATTAAAAATTAATCATGAAAAAAAAACTTTAAAATTAGGATAATTTTTGACTGGTCAATGTTTTTATAATTTTTTTAAAAGTTACTTATTTTCATGTCTGCATTTAGAAATTAGTTCAGATTTTTTATTTATTAAATTCTTTCTCTATCTAAATGAGTAATAATTTCTTGATCTAAATGAGTAATAATTTCAAATTTACTTGTAAATATGATATACATATTTTAGAAATGTTATTATAGACAGGCGCAGTTTTTAGACTAGACCAGTTTAATTTAAAATTATTATTTTTTTCTTTTAGTTGCCAAATATATTTTGACAGCATAGTCTCTTTTGAGTATTTTTTATGTTTTGAAGATTGTTTGTGGTTGGCATAACGTTTTTCTAATAAAATGCACAAAATTTTTAACAGAAACACTATTAAAGAATGTTTTTGCTTAAACATCAGAAGGGCCCCTTATATTATAAAAAAAAGTTCTTTAAAAGTATATCATAAGAACATTGAGCACTCTATTTGTAGAATACACAACATAATTTATATATCTATATATATAATTTATATATCTATATATATAATTTTTTAGTTTGTTGGTTTATTAAACAAATTATTAAGTCAAAAGTGTCCTAGCATTGTTGTGGTGAGTGAGACTCAAGTCTTAAAAGAACTTATTTAAACATAGCGGTAATATTTATGACCTCGAAATCATTAGTTCTTTATTTTTATTGCTAACTATATTTTTAAATACTTCAAATTTAGCAAAAAAAAATTCTTTACTTATTGCCTTTCATTAATCAATAAAGTCTTTAAACCAAGAAAAAACTGTAAAATAGCTCAAACTTGTTATGTTTTGGTTCAGATGTCAAACATCTTTAAGGCAGAACTAATCAGCATTTATTATTAGACAATTTTATAACAGAACAATTATAAAAGTGTTTTGAAAAATTGCAAGGCTCTAGAATACTTTGTTTCTGTTCAGCAAGTTCTTAAAAAAGTAACCAAAGTTACTTATAGTTAAGTAAAATAATCTGTAAAGTAAACAAAGTTGCTATTAATGTTTAAGAAAAGTTATATTAAGCAATATTGGTTCAGATCACTCTTGTCCATTCATTAATAGTTGATATAAAAATGTCATTAGATTATATTGCTGGGTTCATTTTTTGTGATGATGAAAATCCAGATGATATTATGTTTTGAAACATTTGGCACTTTCTTAAAGGAGATAAATAGGAGGTAACTATTACAGGTGACAAAGTTTGTTGATGGGTAACTTACTGCTACAATTATTTTTGTAAAGTATGTAATGACACTTGTCAGTCATCAGAAATCTCCTAAAGATGATATAAGAATATTATTCACTAAATATGGGAAAACAGATTAACAAAACAAATGTTTTATTTAAAAATTATTATCCTTTTTATTCACCTTGTTCGCATAAGGTGTCCAAACAGGAGTTGATAAAACTCAGCACAAATTAAAAATATGTAAAATGTTTTAAATTAAAACTTTGTTTTTCATTAATTTTTATTATGCAGATTTTTTTGTCTTTAAATAATTCTTTTTTCCTCAAAAATTTCTTTAAAAATTTTGTGGTGAAACTTAAGCAAAAGTTTCAAAACAAAATTTATCCCTTGAGAGTTTTGGATTAACTTGAGATATGAAGTTGAACTTTAAAAGCAGAGTTATGTTCATCAATGAAAGCAATTGGTAGAATCAGTAAAAGTATAAATATAAGTTAAATTTTAGCTTAAATTTAACTTTAAACACATCATCATTTAAAAATTATTTGACTTATGCACAAAATAGTGTTACAATTTCTGCTTTAAAAGATAATATTATATTTAGATTAACTTGTGCACAAAATAGTGTTACAATTGCTGCTTTAAAAGATAATATAATATTTGAATTAAACTATGCAATAAAAAGATTTCAAAATTATGAACTATTTTATGCTTATAAATAAAAAGTTAATTTTCAATAGAATTAGGAAAATAGGTTTTTCTTAAATAGATTTTTTATTAGCAGCTTCATCCAAATGGTCATATCTGTATTAAACCCTTTTATCACTGGCATCTATTTGATATCTGACAGTATTTAACCCTCAAAGCAAATTGAAAATAATGGAAATTTAAAAAAAAAAAAATTTCTTTTTCACAATTTTTCTTAAACTTAAGTTATTAGTTATATTTTTATAACTGACTAACATTTTACTAACAGTTTAAGTTAGAAATAAAATTTATCAATTGAAATGCATTAGTTAAAGAGATATGTGTGATAAGCGACACATGACATTGACAAGCTTAATCTTTTATATTTTAAAATAATGATACATTCTCTATAAAAAAAAACTTTAATTTTAGTCAACTAGTCCAGCTGAAGTAGAAAATTGGATACACTGTATTCATTCATTATGTGCAGGTGTGTTTGCACGAAGAAAAGGTTATACAAATATATCATTTCAACTTGAAAAAGAAATTGAAGAATTATATGAATGTATTAATACTGATGAAAATTTAAAAAAGATGGCTTCTCTGCAGTTACAAACTGAAAAAGAAACTTATGCAAAGCAGAAGATAATAGATCAGGTAAAATGTTAAATGTTTGAATAATTTTTTTAATTGGCAGTTTAAAGTAAAGGTTTTTATAAGGTTACAAGTATGTACACTATGGCTATGACTTACTACTATAGCTGCTACAACTTTTGACTTTTTTTATTATCTAGTTTTTATGATTCAGTATACAGTAAAAGTTTTAATTTTCAGATAACTTCTTGGGATAACAGTCTTGATGCACGATATTGTAATATGTTCAAATTAAAGTGCTATTTGTCAGCAATTAATAGTAAGCCATCTCCTAACCCTCAAGAGCTTTTAAGTCATATATCTCGGTCTTCAAAGCATGCTTTATCCAAAATAGGAATTTTTTCTGTTATTTCATTTCATTCTTTACTTCAAGTTAAAACTGTAAATGAAGAAAAATTAAAGTCTTCAACAAAAAGCTTGAAAGATAGGTTGATATTCTCATTGAAGACTGATCAGAGATCAAAAATTGACCAATCAAAATTACATTTCAAAAAGATAAAAGACAACAAGTTTGTAATTTTTAAATTTTTATTAGAATTTTTTTTTTTGTACTGTAGATACAATTTTTTGAATTCTATTTTTAACATTGTTTATTTACTTTATATATTTTTTCTTTTTATATTTCATTTATTTTATTCCTATGATTTGTTTTCTTAACTCTATTCTTTTAACTTAAATTTGTCTCTCTTTTGCTGTTTATTTTTTATGTTTAGTAAATTCTACAAAAAGATTTTTGTAGAACTTATTTGTTTTTTTACAATATATAAGTTTTTTATACTTTACAACTTTAGGTTTCAAAATTTCGGTATTCATTATAAAATTTAACAATTATAAATTTTCTACTTTGATTTTAATTTTTGTTTGCATTATTATATTAAATAAAGTATTTTTTTTTAACATTTTGTATTTTAAAAATTCTTTTTTATATTTGTTTTGGCCATGTAAAACTTCTGAATTATTTATAGTAAAGAAATTAATTATGAATTATTTTCTTTTGTTTCTTTTTTTTTTATAAAAGAAGTTTTATTTTATTAACTCAAAGCACAGAAATTTTTAACTAACTTGAAATAGATGTTGAGAATTTTTTATGTTTTCTTTTCGATATTGTAGGAAAAATCAAATTTTCAATGAAAGTGATGGAGAAACTTTTTCTTGCAAGCATTCTAACATGAATGGTAAAAAAAATGCAAAATTCAATAAAAAAAGTCACCTTCAAGGTCGTATTGGTGATAATATTTATGTTCAAATACAAAGCAAATGTTCAGTTAAAATTCCCTTTGAAGAGAATCTAAAGATTTATGATCTTTTAGAAAGAGTTTGTATGAAAGAAAGTTTAGATTCCCAGAATTTTTATTTAATATTAATAACAGATGAAAACCTTCATAATGGTTTACTCGGATATACAATACCTGATGAACATGAGCTACTTGATTCTTTCAAGTATTCTGCTATAAAGTTAAATGCAAAGTTTATATATGATGTTACTTTGTCAAGATCTATAAACATTGAAGATAATGGACTTTTTGGTATTTCCTTTCAGATATTTATTTTTAATTAGTCTATTATTTATAATGAATTTTATAAATATATCTTACGTTTGATAAATTCTATAATTATATCGTACTATGTTTATTAAATATGCATCTAATTTGTTTCAGGCTTGAAACTTTTGCAATCTGCAGATAGCATTATTGTGCAAGATGTTGAAGAAGGAAGTCTTGCACACCAATCTTATGTTTTAAAAAATGATGAGCTAATTCAAATTAATGGAGGAGATTTAACAAATAGTTCATTTTATGATATTTTGCATATTATTAAAAGTATTTTAAACTTTTTTTTTATATTATTATTATATCATTATTTACAATAAATTTTATTTACTTTTTAACTTAGTCAATAAGTTTTTATTTAAATTGTTATTTATAATTTTATTTAAATTGTTTTTAAAAATAAAAGTTAAATAAATGTTTTCAGTTTTAAAATATGAAATTTTTTTGTATAGCAATATTTAAATTATTCAAATTAAAAGTAATTAATGATAATTTATAGTAATTATTGATAATTATGTTGTTAAAAATCAACGTTAGACTTTTTCAAGATATAATTTATAACACAAAAGTTGTTAAGAAATGCCATTTGTGAGGAATGCAGCAGAATATTTTCTGATTAAATGCTGTTCTATAGAGATTTGTGATTAGATTATTAGGTTTTTACCCTAGTACCCTAAAACCCGCAACAATAATAAGCGTGCAATTAAGAAAATTATAATATGTAGTTGAGAAACACAACATATAGTAAAGAAGTTTTTACATGTGATCAAAAAACATATAATTGCATATGCACAATGTAAGCTTGCAGGTTATTACAAAAGGATTTTAATAAGTTAATAATATCAACTTCAAATTTTTGCATACAACAGAAACAATTATGTAATTGAAAGATTATTGTTTTATATGTCATTTAAGTCAATTAATTGTTATATTAGTTAGTCAAGATAATTGTATTTCATTATTTTTATATTCATTATTTTTGCTCTGTTCTAGTTTTAATGCAGAAAGTCTTTTGCTGCAAGAAGTCAAATTTTAATGAAAGTAAACTGAGATCAAATCAAAATAATGTTTGATTGAAAATAACTATGAAATGAGATTATTGGGCATTGTAACTAGGAAATTAAAATGATTTAATATTATTTATTACAACAACCATTGCTAACTACCTCAAATGCAAGTTGTCAATGAATAGTAATGAAGACAAACAAAACACAAATAGTTGTTGCAAATGGAAAATAAGCATAATTAAAGTATAACATTTAATAATCGGCAACAAATCATGGGTATACTGGAAAAAAAGTTAACTCAAAAATCCTTTTTTAGAGAAATCAGTTTTCTTCAAATTGAATTTGGTTTTTGTCTAAGAAAATATTTATAGCTTTTATTTTTTTCTAAGAAAATATTTATAGCTTTTATTTTTTTCTCAAAGAAAATATTTATAGCTTTTATTTTTTTCTAAGAAAATATTTATAGCTTTTATTTTTTTCTCAAAGAAAATATTTATAGCTTTTATTTTTTTCTAAGAAAATATTTATAGCTTTTATTTTTTTCAATTTAAAAGCTTGAATAAAGTACTCTTTTTATGAGTTAACATTAAATGTATTTTTATAACCAGAGAAAAGATGTTTCATTTGTTTGTAGAACGTTGTTTCATTTTGCCAGTTTCAGTTTCATTTTGCCAGTTTGTAGAACATTGTAAACTTTACAATACTGCATCAATGATGCAGTGACTTAATGAGTTTTTGACCTATGAAATGATGTCATGATGGAAATTTGCAGAAAATTATTTAATACAGGTTTTTGTAATGATAATGTTTCACTAACAATACTATATAAAATATTTGGTAGGACGCAGTTAGCAAAAATCTGAGTTGATCCTTAAGTCAGTTCTCAAGAAAACCACTATATACCTGTGAAAGCTTATGACCATGGGATTCCAAAAATGTAAAAATTTAAATCATCTGCCTAAGTTCGAGAAAGAAAATCAATTTTAAAAATTTCCTTTATTGCACAAATATGTGAAATGACAGTATGTCCAAAATTTTGCATTTTTACAGTATTTATCAAAAACAAAACTTTATATTTTTTCAACATGTTAGATTTCATGATATGTGTAAAGCTTGAACCCAATCATCTGCTTTTGGCCATACATCTTTGAGAATCTTGAAAAGATGATTCACAACACCAAGTAGAAGATGCAACTCCATGGGTGGAATAAGATCCATTACTAAAAAAAAATCGCCAAGAGAAAGAATAGGCTCGTGAATTACATTTCCCAACTTCTTCGCATTTTTGGTGTTTGAACCTGGTGCAGAGAAGGCATGGAAAGAATCTTTCAAAGAGACAAATGTACTTGAAGTCCTGCAGTTTGCAAGATTTAAGATTTCAGCAATACATCATGTGCATGGATGGGAAGAAGGATGGGCCTGCAGGCCACATAAAATGTTAGCCAATTTCATATTATATGAGATGACAAATTTCACATCCTAGATGTCAAGAAGAGAAAGAATGAGCCTTATATTTGTATAATTTTCATGAACACCTTCAGCCACAGCCACAAGAAATTATCTTTTCACACCAGTATCTTTTGATATTTGGTATGTAAGCAATTGTTTTCTGGGAGGCGAATAATCATTGTGCTGTGATTCTAATTCGGAAACTCCAAGACAAACTTTTAAAAATCTTCCACCCCCATCAATCCCCAATTTAACTATATGGTTTGAAAAAATCTTGCGTGACAGAAGAAGATCTTCAATTAGGGAATTCAAGCTTTTACAATGTGCTACCACATGATGCGAGTTTGTTTTGTCAGAGTTTGTAAATGCCATTGCTGTCTGAGTGAAGCTGTTTTCAAGATTTTTGTTGAGATCTTGAAATTTTTTAACTATGTAAGGTTCCAAAACTTTGGTTGTGCTAACATTGTTGCTTGTTTGTGCTAGCTTTCTGATACCATTGTTGGACAAGCCTGTATTTATTTGCACCTGAGCAAGATCTTTGGCTGTTACAACTGGTTGATCCTTGAACAGCTGTTTTGCACTTGATGGTCCTAAAATACAACAAAGGTTATCATTTGTTATCCTAAATGAAATGTTAAGTTGAAATATTTTGTTACCAGGAGTTATAGGTAATGTTTGTCCACCCTTGGCTTGTGAATGTCGAATGGTTCCATGAGGAGAAGCTTCCTTGTTTGTGATTGTTGATGATGCAATATGCAACTTTACCATCAATTGCAGCTAAATATTTAATGTTCTCTCTAAATTTTGGAGTAGAGCATTGATGTGGTAGCCCTCCTACCAATCAGGGTCAGACCTTCTGTCATATTTTTTCTTCTATTTTTGTGGTTTCGAGAGGGTGTTTTTCTGTCAGTTTCAAACGGCCAATACAGTAAATTAAGCATTCACAAGGATTTCCTCTTGTATGAATTTTAACATTTATTCTTTCAAACTGATAAAGCTGTAGCAGTTCAACTTGATGACCTTCATAACGTTTTCTCAAAGAAGTCCTGCATGTTTCACAAATGCCTTGAGGAACTCTTGTGTCATTAAAATTGATTTGTTGGCTGTAGACAATTTGAATTTTTTCCTCCAAAAACGTAGTGAAATGTCTGTTTGCTTTTTTGAGACACATAGCATACAACCTTTTGGTTTTCATCATGATTTCTTGCCGAATTAGGCATTTTTGCAATTTTTTTACAAGAGCCTCAAAAATGCTTCCTTCATAGATTTTTCCTTTTCCCGGAATTTTTCCTACTTATTAGTAGTATAAAATATCATGAAATCTAACATGTTGAATAAATATAAAGTTTTATAGTTGATAAATACTGTAAAAATGCAAAATTTTGGGCATGCTGTCATTTCACATATTTGTGCAGGAAAGGAAATTTTTAAAATTGATTTTCTTTTTGGACGTAGGCAGATGATTTAAACTATTACATTTTTGGAATCCCATGGTCATAAGCTTTCACAAGTATATTGCAATTTTCTCGGGAACTGACTCAAGGGTCAACTCAGACTTTTGCTAGCTGTGAGGAAGGTGTTTGAAAATTCATGGCCTTAGTTGCTGTGCTTAAGACCCTATGATTTAATGTTAAACCCAGTAGAAACAACCTACTACAAAATTTAAAGTAATGCTCAAAATATAAATCACATTTAACCTTAAAATTTTCACCTCTATTTGGTACTGCAGTTGATAAATTATGGATAATAAGAAAAAATATCAATATATTGGAGTTCCTGTTTGAATAAAAGTTACTGTAATTTACATTGTCATTTTTTAAATTTAGTTTCATTCTCAAAATTTTTTGTAAATCAGTAATGACAGAAAACAGAATAAAATTAAATTTTAATTAAATTTTAAATTTGTTGCTCTAAATTTTTTACAACATTGATAAAACTAAATAAGTAAATGCAAATATGATTTTGTTTAATTTTTTTAATTTATATTTACATTTTTACCAGTAACAATTTTTTTCTGTAATAAGAAAATATTTTCAATGAAGAAAAACATTGCATGAGGAAATTATTTTTCTTGCACCTAGTCTTTTTATATTTCTAAAGTTCCTTATTGATTTCATTGCTAATTGCAAATGTAGAATGATGTTGTGAAGTTTAAGCATAGCTGGTCATTTGTAAAATCATTTTTTTAACTATTACAAAATAAAATAGTTTTTAGCATAACATAGCAAAAGAATTTTTTTTTGCATACATAAAACATGAAATAACACAAGCCATTTGTCTGCATTTAAAACCTATCTGATACACCCCATCAGGAACATTTAAAAACCTATCTGATGCACCCCATCAGGTACATCTTCTCTATTCTCTTCAGTCACTGAACATCAACCTTTAGATGATTTCCATTGTTTCACTGTCATACATAAGAACACTCTAGATGCATGTGGGGTATAACTTTCCTTTGATTTTTAATGACGCACTTCTTGCTGTTAAAAGTCGAAATAATTCTATGGTTCAGACACACCTAAATATTGTCCTTGATGTCTCTTTTGCTATTTAATACTAATAATATTAAATAGATTACAAATTTATTATACAAATTTAAACATTATTATAAATAACAATATCAGGAGCACCTTGTATCTGGCTGTTTCAAATATTGAACTCTAAGTGCTAATTTTTTTCTATCTCTGTACTTAAGCATAAATCATCTTCAAAAAATAGTTTTTATAATAAAGAAACACTCTTTACAATTTAAAAAGACTTTCTAACACAATTATAAAAAGCATAAGGCTGAGCACTGAACCCTGACATGCAACAACTTTTGGGTACCACTATTCCTCAGAATCCGCAAAAGGTTTTGTTGTTTTTTGTATTTATTACTTGTTAAAGCAGTTTATTACTTGATATGAACTTCATATTAATTTTTCTTTGCTTCTTTTATTAATCCTTACCATCCGATTTTTTTTCAAATGAAATTTTTTGCAATATTTTTTAATATATTCACTAATTAGAAGAATCAAAAAATAATATTTGATCCATATAAAACAATGGGATGTTTACACCTTTATTTGCTCCCCAAGGTTGTAGACTAAGAAAAGTGTTCTTATATCAGGAAAATATTTAAAACAGATTAACAAATTATTTACAAGCTATCAGTTAAATCAATCTAATTTTAACACAAAGAGATTAACACAAAGAGATTAACATATTATTTACAAATTATCAGTCAAATCAATCTAATGTAAAAATTTTATTCAGATGTCAGTGGCTGCAGTGGCTTCAAAGTTTTGTAGAAAATGTTTGAGTGAGTTATAGAATGGTCAAATATCGAATAGAATGGTTTGCTCTCCTAGATCACCAGATCTCTTTTCTAGAATGATTTGACCTTCCTAATCACCAGACCTATCTATTTAACTTTTAAGGGATGAATTAAAATGAAATTTAAAAAAAAGTGAAATGTATGTATATATAAGGAGGATAAGTAATAAAAACAAAGAAAAACAAACAGATGTTCAGAATAAACACAGATTTATTTTAAGAAGAAAAAGCTTATACACAATTCATAGTCAGCAGTAATTTTATAGTTAAAGTATACCTAAAACAAAACAGGACACATAAGTAAACATAAATGCTCATTAAATAAAAAAGGTTATAAAACAAATATGCATATATATATATATATATATATATATATATATATATATATATATATATATATATATATCACTATTTAAAATCAATAAATATAAAATGATAGGAGGTATATGATAAAGAAAAAACATTATTGCTTTTGTGTAATTTTTGTAATGGTATAATAAACTTAAGCTCAAAGTAATAAAACTCAGCACCAATACCTCATCCCGTCAGATAAACATCTTTGCCATGCTTTACCCCGCGGTTTATGTGTGCTCCATACTGCAGTAAAAATAGACTTTACTATAAACAGGCAAAACCCTAAATTCACCCAAATTCATAAAGCACTATGAGAAGTGAGAGATGTGAATTAAATATATATATATATATATATATATATATATATATATATATATATATATATATATATATATATATATATATATATATATATATATATATATATAAGATAAATGTATAGAATAAAATATAAATAAAAATTTTAACAAAAATATCAAAAAACAATACAAAAATATAAAAAAAAAATATAAATGATAATATGAAATAATAAAAATTAATATATTTTATATAAATAAATTATTATCTAATAGATAATTTATATAAATAAACTATTATTTAAAAAGAAACCACAAAATACTCAACTACACTACCAATGTGATAAATGCTGTTAGATAAAACTTTATTAAAAATACAGCAAGTCGCTAAAATTGCTACTTATGGTATAAATAAACTCAAGCCGATAAGATATAGAAATGTATATAAAATTATAAAAACAACAAAACAAAAACAAAGTTTAACACCAGATATCTAAATCAAATGTTGCTAACAAAAAAACAGATTTTGAATAAAATATAGCAACACTGATGAAATCAGTAAACCAAACCACTACAACGTCAAATGTTAAAATCTATTTAGGGCATGAATACAAATATATTTATATGTATAAAAAATGACAGCCTAAAATTTTACATATTCACATACATATATACTTACATATACATGCAAACACACATACCAATGATTGTCGAAGTTTTTGATTATACTGGTTTCGATTGTATTAATAAAAGCCAGCATAAAACTTTTTATCCCTAAACTATACCTAGCTAACCCAGAAACTAACCAAAAAATTATTTCTTTCGACTTTTCTGAAAATCACCCATTAAATCAATGTTTTTATGTGACCTAATAATCTGTTAAAATAAAAACAAAATTAAAACACGTTTAAAATAATATAAAACTTTTTCTTTTTTATAAAACGTTTTCTACAATTGTGATCTAAAAGAATAGTCCTTACCTATAGATTTTTATTATTTAAAAATTGTTATATGTTATTAATGTTTGAATAATAAATTAACTAAGTATTATTTTTTTTAAATGTATCTCTTTTTTTATACAATTTTTTTATGATCCTTTTTAATATAGCATCAGCAACTATAAGAATGAGATTTCGTTCAAGGAGAGTTGATGATTCGAAAAAATTAACTCAAACTACCGAAAATATGATAAACTTTTTAGTCTGTCCTCTGCCTCCCAAATGTGTGTGAGTTCTTTAATTATGTTAAGATTCTATTTTTATTTATATTTTCTATAGTTTAATTTTTTTTTTTTTTTTACTTTAAATATAGACAACTTGATTTAACTGATGACCTTTTGAAAAGTTTAATTGTTCCACCACCAGAAGGTATTTTTTATATATTTAAAGCTATCATATATATAAATATATATATATATATATATATATATATATATATATATATATATATATATATATATATATATATATATATATATATATATATATATATATATATATATATATGTATATATATTTGTTCATTAATTCTGGTGAGTTTTAAAGGGTGCAATGTTTTAGTTGAGAAATAAATGTAAGAGATGTAAAAGGTTTTTTTAAAAATTATTTAACAACCAATTTTTTTTTCTTTTTAGACTTTGATGAATCAAAAAGCAAAATATCTTCTTCATTGAAAATTTTGACATCAATTGATGACAGTATTAATAAATTTCTAGAGGTTGTATATTTTCTTGTATATATACATATATACATACATACATACATACATATATATATATATATATATATATATATATATATATATATATATATATATATATATATATATATATATATATATATATATATATTTGAATGTAGACATCATGTATGAGAGTATGTAAATTATTATTTTATAAACATCAATAAATACGATTTTCTCTCAATACTAAATTTATTTTTTATTTTTTAAAAGAAATTTTCGCTGGATTGTTGTGACCAGCGTCTTCAGCTGAAAAGATTTTTTTTGTTTTTGTTTATATGTTATTTTTAAACGGCAATTTTATTATATGTCAATGGAATGGTTTCGTCTTTTTCTGACGTAAGTGCATTAGAAATGGTGTCCAGAATTTTGTTGACACATATTGTCCCTCATCTAAATTGATACCACTTTGTTGAGGGGCACATTGGTGGTACTGTATTTCAAGCGCCTCACGAACTTTCCTATCAAACTTTTTGTTATTAACTTTTAGAGTTCTGCAACTGTCCCAGTTAATTTGTTGTGCACAATGTTTCATGTGTGTGGCTAATGCTGATCTTTCTGTTTTATTTCCTATTGTACTGTTTTTGTGTTGTTGCATGCGTGTTTTTATTTGCATTTTTGTTTCACCAATATACTTTTTGTTACAATGGCACTTAATAAGGTAAACTCCTGGGTGGCTGTTCCTTTGTAGTTTGGATTTATTTCTTGAAGTCAATATTGCTTCTAGGTTTAAGTTTGATTTGAAGACCGTTTTATATCCTGCCTTCCTAAACACTTTACGCAATTTGGGAGACATTATTGGTACCCAAGGTAATGAAATTGTTGGATACGTACTGGTGATGTTGTCAATGTTTTTAGTAGTCACTAGAGGTTTTTTGTACTTTCGTTTTATTTCTTTTATGATTTTTATGAGATTGGAATATTTGTAACCATTTTCGACAAATACTTGAATAAGGAATTTCAGTTCATTTTCTATATGTTTCTGACTGCATACATTTAATGCTCTATGTACAAAACCCTTGAATATTCCATTTAAAATTTGTGGGTCATGGTTTGATGTTGCCTTAACTTGAATGTTAGTAATTGCATTTTTTCTGTGTATTTTAAATTCGTATTTGCCATTTTTGTTATTTATTATGCATAAGTCTAGAAAATTTAGTGTTTTTTTATCATTTTCAAATTCGATTGTATATTGTATTTTTGGATGCTGTTGGTTAAGTATTTTCTTGAATTGATTAGCCTGGGCAATGTTAGGGACTCTAGCATGGCTGTCATCTACGTATCTATAAAATGATTTTATGTCAATAATCGGGTTGGTTTTCAGCGCTATATTAAGCACTCTTTTTTCAAGATTTTGAAGAAAAGATTCAGCTAAAACTACCATAAAAGAAAGACCTATTGGACCTGAATTTTCAAGTTCTTGTATTTCATTGTTTTTATTTCTTTTATATTTAATTTTGTCATTTTTTTAAAATTATTGCTCACTTCCATTATATTTATGAGTACATCAGTTGCTTCTTTAAGTGGAATTGATGGGTATAAGTTTATAACGTCTAATGATATCTGAATTTTGTCACTGGATATGCCCCATGATTTTGCTTTTTCTACAAATTGTTGCAAATTTTTTAATCGAGTTGGGTTTTCATTTAATATTGGTTGTATTAGTTTTACTAAGTAATTTGAGATTCCGTAGTTTAGTGTGTCTATTGTAGATACTACAATTCGCATTGGATAAGATTTTTCAGGTTTATGTGCCTTCACTACACCATACATACGAGGTGGTATTGGGTCACTGGGATAAATTTGCTTATATTCATCTTTTGTGAACCGACCTTTTTTATTTATTTTCGATAGTTGGACTTTGATTTTCATTGCGTAACTTTGTGTCGGATCTTCATTGATTATTTTAGTTAGCCCAATTTGTTCTTGAATTTTTTTTATTGCTTTATCATGAGGGATTGTTACAAAGCCTATTCCTTTATTAAATGGGTATATATAAATATTGTTATCTTTTTTTAGTTGTTCAGGTTGTCATTTTTATTATTTTTATTTAGTTTTAATTCTCTCAAAACTTCTCTCCTCAGAGTTTGTGCAGCTTCATCTTTTTTGTTGTACTTAAGTTTTAGAGCAGATGACTCAGTTATTGAGACAATGTCAAGATATGGAAGAGATTTTGTTGTTGGTACAAATTTTGGTCCAAGGTTAAGGAGACTTTTTTGATGTTCTGGAATTTCTGTGTCGGATAAGTTTCAAACAGCTTCTTTAGTATAGATTGTTGAATGAGATATTCGCTTAACGCGTTGATTTTGAAGAAGTTTGAATTTTTTAATTAATCTGTCTCTTGATTTTACGAACATATTTTCTCGTGCTTTTTCAGTGATTCTTTTAACGGCCTCATAATCATTCGTTTCAAGTTTTGTTGTGAGCTCATTTTCAATAAATTTTACGGTATTAGTTAGTTTAAAGTGTTCGTAAATCATTTTTTCAGAGAAATAAGAAGTTCAAACCTGCAGCGTTGAATGATGACTTTACTTTTATTGCTATTAATAGAACAGTTAATTTGTAATGACTTTGGAATGAGTTTGTGTTTGACGCATTTTTGTAGAAAGATGAAAATAAAAAGTCTAAAAATTCTAAAAGTCTCTAAAAGTCAATAACAAAAAGTTTGATAGGAAAGTTCGTGAGGCGCTTGAAATACAGTACCACCAATGTGCCCCTCAACAAAGTGGTATCAATTTAGATGAGGGACAATATGTGTCAACAAAATTCTGGACACCATTTCTAATGCACTTACATCAGAAAAAGACAAAACCATTCCATTGACATATAATAAAATTGCCGTTTAAAAATAACATATAAACAAAAACAAACAAAATCTTTTAAGCTGAAGACGCTGGTCACAACAATCCAGCGAAAATTTCTTTTAAAAAATAAAAAATAAATTTAGTATTGAGAGAAAATCGTATTTATTGATGTTTATAAAATAATATATATATATATATATATATATATATATATATATATATATATATATATATATATATATATATATATATATATATATATATATATATATATATATATATGTATATATATATATATATATATATATATATATATATAAATATAAAATAATATATATATATATATATATATATATATATATATATATATATATATTAGGGTGTCCCATCCGCCCCCTATATTCTAAAAAGATCTATTCATATTCTTAAAACTTGCTATTGGTTCTCACAAACAACTCGGTTAAGTTTTTTCAAAATTATATTGGGTTTAGGGGGGGGGGGGGGACCACAAGACACTTGAACGCTTACCAGATCTTTAATAATATTAAAAAAAAGTTTGGGTCTGTTGGGTCTCAAAAGAAGTAAAATTATATAAAAATTTCAAAAATAATAATTTTATTAAAAAATTATTATTTTAGAGTTTATTGCAAAAAAATGACCTTTTATAACTAAAAATAAAAAGTGTATTTTTTTAATAATTTTCAAAAAATCCTAAATAATAATTTTTTTATAAAATGATTGTTATTTTTGAAATTTTTTTATAATTTCACTTCTTTTGAGGCCCAGCATGACATACTTTTGAAAAACTTTTTTTGATAATATTAGGGACTCAGTAAGTATTCAAGGGTCTTGTGCTTCCCCTAAATTAATACCATGGCTAAAATTAATGAATTAAAGTTCCTCACGCACCTCACGATTATTCACCAGGTTTATCCCCCTCAGATTATTTTCTATTTCCAAACTTGAAAAAATGGCTTAATGGGAGAAGACTTTTTACAAATGAAGAGTTAGAGTCTGGGGTTGATGGCTATTTTGCAGAGTTTAACGGTTCTTACTTTAAACAAGGTATCAAAGCAATTAAACATCACTGTAAAAAGTGTATCAAATTTCCTCGTGGATTTTTTGCTTGAGTACAGAGTGTTGACAGTACATAGATGGTGCTGTATTAGTACTTTGGATATGCATTTTTGAACAAATATAAAAAGCACTTTGTTAAAACTTTGGGTAAGACTGCAAAGCTTATTGATTGTATAGGGTTGTATAGAGTAATATATATGTTTAAGTTTTCTCTAAAAATTATTTATTAGGCTATTGATCTTGACTCATTAAATTTTTTTGATAAAGTTTAGCATGATAGTCTTCTCCATAGTGACCTCTCATAAAACTATATATCCATTCAATTGCAAACTTGACATCTGTTAAGGTTGCCTCTTTTTGTTGTGCTAACCAGTTTCTTAACTCTTGATTCTAGCCTCTATCTTTACAAATCTTTTATGTTTTTTTTAGATTACTGTTATCATGGCTGTTTTTTCTTATGGCGTTCTTTCTTTATTAAATTTCTTCCTGTCTTTATGTTTTTCTAGCTTACACAATTACAGTTGCTATTTTTTTGTCAACCATCTTATCAACAACCTTGCTTAACATTAAAATTATCTATTCCACCAAAAATTAAGTGTTGTCATGACTTTATGGAATGCTGAATGATACCATAAAATAATAATTTACAAATTTATATTAAAAAATTTAGTTATTTAATTTTTGATTATGTTGCATAATACTCTTTAACCAAGGACACAGTTTATCGTAGATAAAACTGTGTCCTTAAAAAAAAAAAAAGACCTTATGCTGATGAAAATCATCAATACTTTTTTAAAAAATTAAATTTTAAGGCTTAAATTTACATATTCACAGTGTGTCAAAAACTTCAGTAATTTAATACATGGTGGCCACAGTCCTGGAATGTCCTGGATTTTTGCAAGTGTCCTGGAATGTCCTGGAAAATTACATTTTTTTTTTTTAAATGTCCTAGAACTTTTTTTTTCTGAGTCAAGTTAAAAAATTACTAATAATATTGAAGTAATATTAAATTTTTTATGCGAAAATTTTTATTATATAAATGGTTTGAATTTAATTTTAAAAGAGATAGTAATAATAATATAATAATATAATATTCTATTCTATAATTCAATCAATATGAAAAAAATATAACATAAAGATAATTGATAATATTCAATTAATAAGATATAAAATGTCCTGGAAAACGCGACAAAATTTCCTGGAAATGTCCTGGAATTTAACTTTTAAAATTTTGTGGCCACCATGTAATAGCAATTTTGAGTATTATATTTATACTGTTAAAATCTTGAGGTTGGCATTTATATTTGTGTAAAATCAACATTGTTGCTATAAAATTATGGTTTTTATTTTTGCAATTATTTGCCCTAAATTATGTACCCAACCCAACTGTAAAACGAAAAACCCAACTGTAAAACAAAAAAGTCAACCCAACTGTAAAAAAAAACAAACACAATTTTAAATTTTAAATTAACATGGTATAATAAACATTTTTTATGGATTTTCTTCTTCTGTATTGTTTTATGTTTTTTTGATATATAATTTTATAGCTTTTTTTTATATTTGTTTAGGTTACTGAGCAAGTTAATATTCTAGCACGTGAAATGAATGGTAATTTATTTGAAAATGCACCATTATCGATGAAGCCAAGCGAAAAACTCAGGAAATCTATTTTAGAACTTATTAATACAGAAATTACTTATACAAAGGTTTGATTGACATAATTTTTTAACTTTTTAGAATTTATTATCTATATGTGTACAAATTTAGTCAATAATGCTTGTTTTGCTCTATGTAAGAGATTTGGTATTTAATATAGTGGGTGACAACTGAATATCAAGATTGGATTTAAAGACATATCTCTTTTAAGGTATATTGTAAAACAAAAAAGAAAAATGTTTTAGAAAGTATTTTAATTCAAGTTTCTAGGGTTATCTGCTTTCTCAACATAATGCACTTTTTTCTTATTTAGGTACATGATTAGTATTTTTACATAGTGAAATGATACCAATTAGAGCCAGAATACATATGCACTATCTGAATGATATTTGTTTAAATAGATTTCTTGATTAGCCAGTCGGCTAGGCACAAAATAGGGCTAAAAAGTACCATTTGCAGAAAAAACAATCCATAGTACTGCAAATGGAGTAGATTTTACACTGCTAATATTGAATATATATTATTTAGTATACAGTTTAGTACTGCAGATGGAGTAGATTTTATACTGCTAGTATTGAATATATATTATTTCCATTGAAACTGGAGTGTTTTAATGTGAAATAATACTTATCATCAATGATTGGTTGCCAATTTTTAAATTTTTGACACAATCAATTACACTTAGTTCTAACAACTGTTTTTTGTTCATCAAAACGTTTTGTAATTTTTTTTCTTGATTTAACTTCTCTCTTTTTTTTAATGTTTTACTAATGTGTTGCTGAGTTCAGTTAAACGTTTTTGCTGCCTGTTGTTGAGAAGCTCCATCTTTATGGTCATAAGTTTGAGCCTTTTAATGTTTGTCTTTTAATTTTATTTTTTTAGCTTTTCCTCCACATCCTTGAACTTTTTGGTAACCAGATTTACTTTCAGCACATTAAATTATTATGTAGATAATACTTTTAGGTAAATTCTTCATTTAAAATTGTCATAAGTGAATTTTTGTACCAACATTTCTGTAATTTAAATAAGGTTCATACACAAGTTTTCTTGCTTTGAAATTTTTTTTTATAAAAAGTAAAAACACATAAAATAATTTAAAATGCTAAAATAAAAATACTTTATAAAACATTTTTCCTTTTTGTTTTACCTCATACCTTGAAGATTTATCTTTAAATCCCGCTTTTCAGTTGTTACCTGTTATTGACAATTGAAAAAGATTACACTAGACTGAAGCCATTTTGGTGGTGCAGTTAATAATTCCATTTAGTAAGTGACCAAGGTTAAAAATGAGACTTTTTTCAAACCCAGTCCTGGCAAAATTTAGCATAGGTTGATAGCTGCAAGGGGCTAGAAAAAAATTTATAAAACTTTATATATTATTAATTTATGCATACATTTACTATTTTTTAAATGCTGTATATATATATATTTTAATATATATATACATATATATGTTAATATATATATATATATATATATATATATATATATATATATATATATATATATATATATATATATATATATATATATATATATATATATATATATATATTAACTAAATTACTTCTAACTAAGTTGCAAACTACCACTATTAAGTTATGAGTTACTAGAAAACTAAAGAAAGGGTTAAAACACATGGAAACAGGTAACTTAAGACTAATAAATTTGCATGTTGTATGAGTAAAAAAAATACAAAGATTGGTGAGAGTTTTGAGGTTATGTTGATGTGCTAAGAAAAAACTAGATAAATAAAAAATTTTATTACATAAAGAGACTGATACAGCAAAGGAATGCGACTATGCTGAAGAACATGGTTGATTGAACTTTGGATAAAAGCTTGTTTAAACAGCAACCATGAAAATATTTGTAAAAAAAATAAATGTAACTTTAGGGTGATGGTAGAGTGGCTCAAGAACAGCAGATAAAGCAGATCCAACTACATTTAAAATGTGCTTTCGGACCTTGGCTGAGAGTGAGAGGATTGTTATTTATCAATAGAGGAATGTCAACAACATTGCAATGATTGTTTGCTGTATATAACTTTTTTTGGAGTTAAATTCACAAGCCACAGCTAAGATTTGGTGGTTTTTCAAATTCGGTTTTAAAAAACCAGTTTTTAAATGTGTAAAATTTATTTTAAAATACAAAAACAGGTTTTCTAATTTTTAACATATTTTTAGTATATTTTTGTTATGCAATGACATTTTGTTAAGTAAGTTAAGTAAGCTGTTTTTTTTTGTTTTTTTAACATGCAGTTAACTTTTTTCCTGTGGTAGATGGAGATTTCGGTTTCATTTTTTGCAAAATGTTTTGTAATAATGATGCAATAGATGCAGTTGCTTGTCTAAAAATATACGGATGTAAAACATAAAGTTTTAGGGAAACTAAATCGTCTAGAATAGTTTGGTTACTTATATGTATTTATAAAATATATTTAAATGTAAGAATTTATTATGTTAATGTATTTATAAATGTAATAGTTTAATACGTTTATGTACTAAATTAAGAATTAGCAACTCATTTACTGAATTTGCAAAATCCTGAAAACATTTCCGGCCCAGCAAAAAAATCTAGTAGTTTCTTTTAGCTTCAAAAATTGACACTTTTGAATTGTCTGAAAATTTATTGTCAATTGTTATAAAATTCTATTGTGAACAACAAGATCAAGAGGAAATCGAAGAAGAAGAATCAGAGTAAAGCTTTTTAAAAAGAATTAAAAAAAAATCATGGAAAATTCGATTACAAAGTTTCTTGACTTTGTAATTGAATTTTCCATCAACCCAAAGACACTGAAAGCTGAGTTTTTATTATTTGAGTCAACGCATAAATGAACCAAAAACTTAGATTTGTTATTTGATGCACTTAAAACTATAAACCCTTTCTAAAATACTATTTCCTAGGAAAAATTACGATAAGTGAAATAAATTGCACTTATTGTAATTTTTCCTATTTCCTAGGAAAAATTACGATAAGTGAAATAAATATTATATATGAATTAAGTATTTCTCGTTATTCAATTTTAATAAAGAAAAATTCGAAAAACATGGTAAAACTGGTTTTTTGGGGAATTTGGAATTCGAAAACCAGTTTTTCAAAAAGTCCATTTTTGTTCAAACTCTAGCCACAGCAAGCCCCAAGCTTTTACAGAAAAGTGATCAGGGTAAATATTGGTTGTTTGTTTTAAGCAATCAAAAAGTTACAACTTTTTGTCAAGACAAGAGTATAAAGTTGAATTATCAGCAAATAGAGCCACTTTAGATGTAAAATTGTCAGAAAGATTGTTATTGTAGGTAAGAAACAATACAGGAGCATAGGTAAAACATTGCGGTGGTAACCATTCTCATTTCCAGTAACCCTTGAAGTTACTCTTCTTTATTTCCAGTAACCCTTAAAGTTACTAGAAATCAAGACATCTTTAGGCCCTTAAGAGTGATTTAAATACTGTGGCTAGAAAGAAATGATTTAATAATTTCAAAACAAATAAAAGAGAGAAGATTAATTGTAGGATACTAATAGTTTAGAGTGAATTCTGGAAAACACTTTTGTAAGACAATGATGGAAATGTTGCATGAACCGCAAGCCATAGAAGAGTTTATTTGAGAGTCGACTTAAGCATTGAAAGCCGAATTGATTTGGATGTTAATTTGTTTAACTATTCTAGTTAAACAAATTAACAATGGGTTAATTTGTTTAACTAGAATAGCAGGAAGAATATGGCCATTTGATTCAATAGTCAAATTAGAGGACTTTGCAAATAACCTGCCTTATTTAGAGGAAAAGTAATAAGATCAGACCCATAAATTAAAGATGGAATGACTCATTTTAGACTTACTTTAGTTAATGACACTTTTGAAGGTTTTCCAAAAGCCTCTAGAACCTAACATCTGAGATAAGATACAAGATTAAGTAAACTGAGAATAACGTAGCATCAGAACTTTTTTACGTTAACTTCTTGCATTAATAAAAAAATCTCAAAAGAGATGTTCTTGTAAAAAAGATTAAAAGTGATTATGGTTTAATATAGCAGCTGCTCAAGAAGGTAAAAAGAAATGTGAAGTAGAATTAGGATTGAATTAAAACTGAGAAGAAGGAATAAAAGCTTACATACCTGCTTGGATCCAGATGTAGTTTGTATTAGAGGAACAGCATAAAAGGGAAAAGCTAAAGTTTGATGATGATGACGATCATTAACATCATCATCATCAAACATCATCATTATCATCAAACAAGGTTTGATAAAAATGTTTTTTTATCAAACCTGGCCCCAGTCGAATTTTTAACCCTGGTTGTTTACTACTTCCATGTTGGTGTGAATATACATATATTTCAAGTTTGATCAGTTGAAAGCAAAATTTTAATAAAAACAATTTTTGTATAGCTCAATATAACTTATAATACTAAAAAGTATTATATATTACAGTAATTTAGATATTTTTGTAAGATTATAAAATATAATTATTTATAAGTTTGATTCTAATATAGCTGTTCATTGAGTATTAGTTTTATAATAAATATATTTAGTATAATGATCTTTATTTTTATTTATATGGTTTTATTGTATAAGTTGATTGCTTTACTCATATTTTAGGCTATTTGTCTAGTCACTCGATTAGTATTTGATACGTTTATTGCTTTAAAAGTAATTTAGCATATTTTTACTTTTAGAATCATTATGCCAGACCATTACAGTTTTAATAAAATTATCAAAATGAAGTGTGAATCAGTTATTAAATTTATAATTAGATATAGTATTTTTGTTTTCAAATACAATGATATTTTAAATATCATATAAATTTAAAAAATGGTACTATAAAAATTTATTTAAACCACATTAGTATTAAACTTTTGGTTGTATTTATCTGTATAAAATATTTATATTGTTATTATAATTCCAAATTGATATCTTTTTTTTAGAATTTAAAAATTTTACAAGAAAGATATTTGATACCATTAAAAGAAGAAAATTTGCTTACATCTGATGAGGTGTTATTATTTTTTACAAGAAATGATATTTTTAAACAGCTTATTATATTTTTAATACCTGAATTAAAGGACTAATATATTTTAGGCTGATTTGTTGGTCAAAAATATTCGGGATATATACATGTTTCAAAAAACATTTTTAGAAAAGCTTCAGGCAAGTTAAATTTAATTGTTGTAAGAACACACACACACACATTTTTGACTGCATTTGGCAATAATTTTTGACTGCATTTGGCAATAATTTTGCTAAATTTTGCAAGGACAGGGGGATACTGCTGCCCAAATTTTATATATATATATATATATATATATATATATATATATATATATATATATATATATATATATATATATATATATATATATATATATATATATATATATATATAAAATTTGGGCAGCAGTATCCCCCTGTCCTTGCAAAATTTAGCAAAATTATTGCCAAATGCAGTCAAAAATTATTGCCAAATGCAGTCAAAAATGTGTGTGTGTGTGTGTGTGTATATATATATATATATATATATATATATATATATATATATATATATATATATATATATATATATATATATATATATATATATATATTTATATATATATATATATATATATATATATATATATATATATATATATATATATATATATATATATATATATATATATATATATATATATATATATATATATAGAGAGAGAGAGAGAGAGAGAGAGAGAGAGAGAGTTACATGTTAATTTTACATATTTGATCCTGTTGAAAGAGAAATTGGCAGTAGAAGAAATGGTTAGATTAGTGTTTTTTTTTAGTATTGTTTGTAAAAAAATAGTAAAAGAAATCATACTAAATTTTTACATGATATGCTGCCTATAATGGTGCTGTAAAATTTTAATACATTGTTATTTGGTATGTTGGCTGTACTACTCCTAGAAAATCTTGCTATATTACATGTTTTCTAAATGTTTATTTATAGATATAATTTTTTTTTTATTTACAGTATTTTTTATTTGATACATTTTTTTTGTTATAGGAAATAAAAAATAATGAAAAAAAAATGGATGCTTTCGAAGATGTTAAACAATTTCAGGTTTCTTTTTTAAAAATTATTTTCTTATTTTTTAAATATTTACTACATGTGAATTACATTACTCTTTTGTATTTGAGTTACAACACTCTTTTGTATTTGAGTTACAACACCGAAAACTCAGAAGTGCATAAGTACGGTATTTCAAAACTTATTAGCATTTATAATATAGCATTTACTTAGGTGAAAAGATTACTACATCTGTCCAACAACATCCGTGGATGTTGTTGAACAATTTTCGTATGTAGTTACATCCGAAAAAAATCAGATGTGTAACTACATCTGGTTAAAATAATGCATTATTAAAAAAAAAATTCTGGATGTAGTTACATTTATAAGTTACATGTGTAATTATTATATTATATAAGTGCTGCTACATCGACTAACAAATAGCCTGACTCGCAATGGAATGCTGCTACATCGACTGAGGGTTAGGTTTGGGCAGGCAGTCTATCAAATAATTTAAAAAAAAAAAAAATTTATTATGCTTAAAATAATGCATTACAATAACTTTTTTTTTGGCGGATGTAGTTACATCCGAAAAAAATCAGATTAAAAAAAAAAAAAATTTGGATGTAGTTACATCAGAAAAATCTACAGATGTAGTTGCGCAGATGTATTTATACATCAATGAAATTTGGGATATTATTGCACAGATGTTATTATACATCAATGAAATTTCGGATGTTGTTTCACGGATGTTATTATACATCAATGAAATTTCGGATGTTGTTTCACAGATGTTATTATACCTGGCAAAAACGGATGTTATTGCCCTGACCCTTTATAAGCATATATAAATAGCATTTATAGCATTTATAAATGATGTTTTTTTTTAATTTTTAATGAAATTTTTTATTAAATTTTTTTTATAAAGTTTTTTTTTTCTAATAAAATAATGCACTTGAATAGTGCTCAATTTTAGAAAAATATCTTATATAAGTTATTTTTAGAAATTTTTTGAATTATTTTTATATAAATTATTACAAATTAAAATATATTTGTGCACTTATTTGTTGAACTTTTTGATATAAAGTATCTTCAAAATATAAATTTAGTTACATGTAAACCAGTATAACCTGCTTCATGTACTGCTACCTTGTAGGATAAGCTCTTTTAGGCAAAGGCTTGTAGAAGTAAACTCCAACTTAAAACATCCCCTGCCTTGGGGCTATTGGTTGATGAGATGGTGTCTGGTTAAATATACTCATCTTGGGCCGTTGTTAAATGCATCTGCCTACTGCCTTGTAGAAGGCCTCCTAGGCAAAGACTTAAGGGGTAAACAGATTCTATCTGTTGACCAGCTTTGCACCCCTTCTTCATCTATTAGGCTTGCCCAGATGTATTTATAATAATTGCTTCCAGTTTAGGATGTTGAATGCTGGATCTTCTTTACTCTGGGTTTCACTTATGTCTTCGTTTTTATGACTAGGCAACTCATTCTATTATCTGCTAATGAGGTTACAGCTCTACAACTCAATTTTATGGTTCTGAGGCTGGTTAGTAGTCAGGTTTACCAAACTCTGTGGTAGCTCTCAGAGAGGCTGATTCCATCAACAGCTGTAAAATATCAGATTACTAACAGTGTCATGTTATGCATGGATAGTGTCCCTGTTCATACTTTTGGTGTGCATTGTTGAGGCCACATTTGGAGCCCTCTGTTACAGCTTAGGGTTTATTAATAGTAATGAGGCAATTACTTGGACAATTAAATAGTGTACTGAGTACTGTCTATGCTTCGAGTCAAGTTCTTTAATAAATTTAAAAATGACTAAAGTACCAAAACCTATAAAACACAAAAAATCATTATCATCACCAAGTTTTCTAAACCTATCATTCACTAATATTTGTGGTCTTTAAAGTAACTTTTTTTCTTTTGAGTCTTATCTCTTGCAAAGTTCACCAGACCTACTTGCTTTTTGTGAAACTAATTTGATTTCAGCTGTTTCATCTAATTATCTTAGTGTTGATGGTTTTCTTTAATTCGTAAAAATTCCAATACTCACATGCTTGGTCTGGGTATTTACGTTTGTAAGCATTCACCCATTTTTCAGGAAACTAGGTTTGAATCCACCAACTATTCTTTAATGTGCTTTTGTTTAGCACCACTTAACACTATTGCCGTTCTCTTTGTTCTATATTGCTCTCCTTCATCTTAAAACTGCACTCTTTTCGATGTTATTTCTGATCGAAAAAAGACCAAGCCCTCTCTCTTTATCCATCAGCCAATATTGTTGTTGTTGGTGACTTTAATGCTCATCACACTGAATTGCTTGGCTCTAGTGTCAGTGACTCTGCAGGCCTTAAGGCCCACAACTTTTGCTTTTCTTAATCTCTAACTGAAATAGTCAACTTTCCAACTTGCTTTCCAGACAACTTGAATCATTTACCTTCTCTACTCGATTTTTATCTTGTTTCTGATCCTAGCCAGTGCTCAGTTTCTCCACATTCACCCTTAGGTGCTTCTAATTACGGTTTGATCTCTCTAAAACTTTTATCTCATTCTTCTTTGTCATCAAAATATCATCGTACCTCTTACAATCTTAAAGATGACTGGGACTCTTTCCATGATTTTCTTTGTGATGGCCCTTGGATAGAAATTTTTCGTCTTTCTGCTGACAAATGTACTTCTTACATAACTTCTTGGATTCAGGCTGGCATGGAATCTTTTATTCCCTCTTGGCAAAGTAAAGCCTTACTCTTCACCATAGTTTTCCTCACATTGTGCTGCTGCAATTTCCTATTGAAGCCATTACTTCCATATCTATCAGCAAAACAACTCTCTAGAAAACAGAGGTCTGTTTACTATTGCTAGAAACCATTGTAAAAAGGTTTTCTCCATGAGCTTTCTTCTTACAGTGTATCAGGTAACATCTTTAAGATGTAACTGATACACTACGATTAGTAAGAAAGGATTGAATCTTTCCTTACTAATCGTAGTATAAAAGTTCTCCTCAACGAACAGCACTCTTCTTCATATCCTGTAACTTCAGGGGTTCCCCAAGTTTTTATCCTTGGCCCTATACTCTTTTTAATTTACATTAACAATTTTCCAGATATTCTCACATTTAAGGTGGCATTGTTCGCTGATGATACTACCAGTTATTCATGTCTTGATAATAAGCCAACACTCTCTGATTACTTGAAGGGGCATTTGAGCTTGAAAAGGTTCTCACTTCCGCTACAACATGGGACTCACAGTGTCTAGTGAACTTTAATTCAGATAAAACTTAGTTTTTTTCAGCCAACTGTTATTGCAATAATTTAGATCTTCCTACATTTATGAACACTAATGTACTCAAAGAGTCATCTACCCTTCATCTTCTAGGATTAACTCTTACTTCCGATTTTACTTGGAAACTATATATCAAATCCATTGCAAAATGAGCAATCCAGTGAATTAAAATCTAGTGTCAGTTTTAATAATTTACAAATATTACAACTGGCACTGCTCTAAAGAGCTAGTCTCTTGTGATAAAATATTTAAAAAAATAGTTACAAAAATATTTTTGGGATTTTTTATAAGTCATTATTAATAAGAAATATAAAATTTATTTTTAGAACATAATTTATTTGATTGGTAAATTATTTTTGGAATTTTGTGATAAATTTCGTCTGTATAGCACGTTTTGCTCGTGTCATTCGAGGGCTGTTAAGTTATTACAAGTCAGTAAGTAAATTTTTTTTAACTTAAAAACATTCTTTCAATTGCCCATTTTATAACTTTTATCATTATCATGCTTTTTTAATATTTTAATAAAGTTTTCATTAAAATTGTTTTAACATTAAATGTTATATTAGAATCGCTTTTTAGATACAAATGAAGCTTTAAAAGCGTTTTTGATTGCTCGCAATCCTAAACAACAGCACACTGCATCTCTTGAGTCTTACCTAATAACACCAATACAGGTGAACTTGAGTATTTGTAATTTATTTGCTATAAAGGGTAGGGGTCAGTAATGTACCCCAAGTAAATAAAAAAATTACGTCATGTTATACTTATATTTTTTGAAAAATAAAATGCGTTATTGAAAGTATCATTTTGTCAATTGTTACAAAGAACTAAAATTAAAATCAAGTGCTATTGGAGATAAAAACTTTATCTCCAATAGTACTTGCTGCTACTATAACACTTATGCAAACTTTGCCTCAATTTACTATGGGGCAATGGTTAGTTACAAAATTTTAATTGTTTAATAATCTGGTTATCTGAAATCATTTTGGTCCAGTCCTTCATGAAAACATCTTTTTTTACATTATGCTTATTTGTAATTTTTTTTTATTTTGTCTAATAAATAGTGTAAAGTATATTAAAATATAAAAAAAAAAGACTTAACCTGTTTTTTACTTAGCGCATTCTTCGATATCCTCTACTTATCAAAACAATGATGAAATACATGTTGAAAGATAGTGAAGAATATCTTTGTATGAACAATGCATTAATTAGTATTGAAAAGGTAGCAAATTATATTAATGAAATGCAAAGAATCAATGAAACATTCACTCCCTTATTTCAAGACTTGGCAAAACGATGTCCATATGTTGAGGTTTGTTTTTATTTGACACTATTAATCTGTTTGAATGTTTTATTTATTTTTAAAAACATTTGTTTAAAATGTCCAAAATGTAACTTTGAATTATCTGAAATAAGCTATATTAAATGCAGCCCTCTGAATTAGGGTCAGCATTTGGCAATTCCAACCTAACTGCCTAACTAAAGGTGTCTGACTTCAGCTCTTTTTGACTGACCTCCTTCCTATATTGTTATGTTGAAA